TATTGTTGGTCAAAATGGAGAAGATTTGATCTGATCTGAGAGATGTGATCAATGAGTATAGTGATGGATCATCAGGAAGGAGGGAGAGAGAGGAGCGGTTGTACAAGATGAGAGCAGAGCAAGCAGTGAATTTGAGATTAGGTTAAGTTTGGTGAGATAGTCTTGTTTCACTGGAGTGTCACACAATATAACTTGGACTCAAGTTTCAACACTTAGAAGACAGGTAGATTTTGTTGTAGTGGAAAAGAGTCTGTGCTTGATGTTGTGAAAAAAGGGTGATTTGGAATCAGATGGAGATGATTTGATCTGCCTCAGTGGGGAGGGGTCAGCTGTTGAGTAAAACTGACTAATTCAAAAGGGGTCAGAGTCCTAAAACAGGATAGTGATAAAGTTTAGAAATCTAAGGCTTCTTCAGGTTCAGTGATTTGCTGATATGACCAGCAAGAGAACTTCAAGCTTTTGTTGGGTTCAGGGATTGGTGCACAATACAACTAGAAGGAGCAATCCTGGATTTGGTTCAGGAACACTGGGATTTCTGAGGAGCATAGAAATAAACAAGAACAAACTATGTAGCATGTACAATGCATAATACTATACAAGCATAAAAGATCATTTGAATAAGATGACAATGAATAATGCAGTCTGAGTAGTAAGTGGAATGATATCCTGTGACAGGTATTGTGACATTTACTTGCAGGCTGACAGGGGGGGGGCTCTCTTTGCACACCCTAATTTATTCATGAGATGTTTACTCCTAGGATCATCACAGCAAAAAATGTGCCATAATTGCTACTCAAAATTTTACTATGTACTGGGCTAACTTGCTCCGACTTCCAAACCAATGTGGTTAAGATCTGGGGGTAAACATATTACTATTGTTTGAACAGCAGAGTCGAGGCTACCCAAGGTGAGATGGCATTGGTAAGCATAAGCTTCTTATCTTGCACCAAATTTTTGAGATATAGAGGACTCAAGTTTTATATCTACTAGCTCTATGTACTGTACAGTGTAGACTAGGTTGAAGGTGGCAGAACAATGGTTGAAGAAAGGACAGCACGTGAATTATGAAGCCAATTAAGGATCATGAAAACCCCAGTGGGTTTTCAAGGTGATGCTAATCTGTGGAAGACTCCTTGACCCTTTCACATCTCATGATATATGCGCCCTTTGGTGTGTCGGAGGTGAGGGCGCTTGTGTTAAAAGGGGCAATATAGGTCAGGTATTAACTAGGATGGGCTTGTAAGCCATTCCCCGGACGCCCTCTTCTTAGAGTAACCAAAGAAGCTAGCAAACAAGCGATGGGTTCCTTTGGTTTACAAGCTCTTCGTTTGGTTGGTTGCCAAGCGGAAACTCGTGGATTCGCGCTACTGAGAAATCCATCAAGGCCTTTGTCTTGGACTGTAGTACAACTTATACGTAGATATGCAGTTGTTTAGTTAGCCCTTCCTAATCACACATCCCCTTTGTTTCTTGATCAAAATCCAGAAGCCGCAAGTCGACGGAAAAAGGACAGCTTCAAGAAGCCATAGCCATACTTGACGGGAAAAGCACAGCCCGATCAGCACGACATTCGATGGACCTGTCGCTAGAAAAGTCGCTGATGATGATCCGCGAGAAATGGATTGCACTCCTCATACATACAATCTGTTCGTCAAACTTTGTCTTGGGATATTCCGTCTGGCGACGAGAAGGAAGGAGATTGTTCAGCTCAGTGCAGTTGCCTTGAACACCAGCACACCGAGAGAATTCAACGCTCAAAGCCATCTGTCCGACTCTCTTTGTTTATGAGCTGACGGCCAATGTTTATGGATACGAGTGAGTATATGTGAATCATTCGGACTGAGTGACTCAGCACCAAGGAAGAAAGCAAAAAAAGCAAGATGGAAAGCAGAGTCTACAACTTTTGACTCAGTCCTCCAACATCCCTCCCCTGAAATACAAATCCATATCCTGAGCAAATGCACCAGCTTGCTCTAACCGAACTCAGTCCTACAAACCTTGGGGCCTAAAGGGCGATCCAAGAAAGTTTTCCCCTCGCTGTTTCTCCCCCCAAATCTCATCATTCACTTCCACCACCAACAGTGTTGTCTCCTTCGCTCTCGTCATCTCGCTCAACAACAACAAAAAACCAAATATCCGCATCAATATCCAGTTAAGCAAGTTGTGTGCATAGTAATATCGACCAACTCGTTCTAAATCAAACCTCCACCTCTGAGAGGGAATCCTACATTATTCGATACACATCTATAAATAATAGACCATTTGGAAGATGATTTTTTTAGCCGGCCTTCTCAATCGATCTTCGTTATCCTTCATCCTAGTTTCGGTCGTACGCTTGATATCGATCGTTGCGATTCTGTTCGCGTTTGCGATGGAAATCTACTTGATCGTCGTCAACATCCAAGGCGTCCACCGACATTCGCATGATAGCTCGGCTGACTCCGGCAGTCAGAAGCGTGACCTCAACCCCAAGTCCAACAACAGCACTACCAGCCCTAGTGCTTTGTCGCCATCAACATCCGCCTGTGGCTACATTGATCAAACAAACGTCCCTACCACATTCGGGTATGTCATCCAAACCAGCGTTTGATGGAGATCCCTGGCTGTGCCAAGACAATTCTAACGCTTGTTTTTTCTTTTTCTTTTTCTTTTCTTTCGCGCCTTCGCCAGGGGCGTTCTTTTTTTCGTTCTGGGCCAACTGTTCAACATGATCATTCTGATACTATGCCTTCTTTCCGAATTATCATTTCCTCCGTTACCTAGTAAGTACATCATGGCTACTACATCATATTTCAAGCGGGAAAGATGTATAGAAGGATTGATTAATTGACGCATCTCTGCATGAATCAACCTCAATAAAGAATTCTTTCAGTTTTTCTTTCCACCACTGGGACAAACGTTTGGAGTCGGTTTTCTAGGCGCCTTAGAAGTGTACATCTCATGCACCCTATTATCACATCACATCAACACGACGTCCCGAGCTTCATTCTGGATGCTATTCATTGTCGGGATCATCAACCTCTTCTTAGGGGTTATCTTTGGCCGACGGATCCGGAGCAAGAGGAGCTTGTTGGATGCCGGCACGGCCTATGCCAAGAAGACCGCGCACATCGACGACCTTGAGACTGGTTTCAATTTTGCGCAGAAGGGCGCCAAGAAGGGTAAAAAGGTAAGACATCCACACCCTCGATCACCACATTCTTTGCCAATAAAGACAGTATAACTTAACTTTCCCATCTCTCTGACCGCCCCCCCCCCCCCCTCCCCAGGCCTTCAAACACCTCAAGCCCTCGATGATCAGCAGTCCCCAGGGGCCTGCAAGCCGAAACCCTTTCGAGAGCTCCGAAACCAAGTCGATTCATCATCCACTCGAGATCAGTCGGCCGATCATTGACTACATCCAACAGCGCAAGGCAGCTTCAGCAGCTGCTGCTGCTGACCCAACCCATCCCGAACATGCTATCTCTCTGCCCACCGAGCCGTCGCCGATATATTCATCCTTCAAAACTATCATGTCCGAGCATTCCAAGAAATCCAAGGAGACCCTTCACTCATAGTCTCCTGGCCCTTCACACTCTTGCACTATTCTGGGCCTTTTCTTCGTTTTGTAACATCGTCTTTTATTCCCTTATATCACATTTGTACCAAGCATATCAACTTGCAGACATCGGGATTCCTAAGAATCAGTAGAAAATGAGCAATCTGTCTTGTTTTCATTATTGTTTTGCTCTAATCTATCTTGAACCCATTTGCTAGTAATACACACGCGGAAACCTATCACTATTCAGAAGCGCAACATTACATCAATCAAGTCTGAATAAGTTTGATGCCCTCAGTAGTTCGAGAGCCTCATTTCAAGGCGATACAGACGAATGTGACTTGATCATTCAAAATTTAAAGAGTGCATGGTACACTTGGTTGTTAACAAGATTATCAAGTCCACAAATCATTGTTGGCGAGATAACAATTGTGCATATTTGTGTCTCAGTGGAGTCAATGCAACGGTTGGGTAACAGACAGACCATGGTGACGCGCCAGAGTTTCTAATGGGACCGGTGATGCCCATGTAGACGGCTGGGCGGTACTTGACCCCGCCGACATTTTCTGAAGGGACAAGAGTAAACGAGCAGGCGACAGGTTTCCACTGAATTAACCCAAAGCATCAATGTTGTAGATCAGATAGTTACAGCAGTAGATACTTATGCTATGTACGAAAGATTATACGCAGAACAAAGTCTCTCAGGTAAACGTCACGAATAACATTATCATTGAATGTCTATTGTAAAAGAGCCTGTTGGATGTTAATCGGAAATGGATGTGGAAACAAGTGTACATGCAACAACATGCAATTGACTGATCAATCAGTAAAACCTGTAAATTGTGGAACAAACACCGTCTATCACAGACATCCCGGATTAATCGATGCGACAAGTTTCTCTGTTTTTTAATTATTGAAAAGGGGAAAGAGCCCTCAGTCCTCATCAATGCTACAACAAATCATCAACCATTTTATGAAGTAGTCGCCGGCTTTTGGTTGAGTTTCTTGATAGCCTCGGGAATGTTGGCTTCGTTCCTCAACGATTTGAGTTTCTCGATCAACTCTAAGAGTGCTTTATCACTTGAATCTCCGCTAAACTCGTTGACCATACAAAGGTTGTCGGGTTGAAGAGACTTCGCGGGCAAATAAGCATGTCAGTTAGTTGGATGAAAACATACCAAGCTGATGGATTATCAAATGAGTGTCCGTCCACTCACCAGCTTATCAGGTGAATCGTCAACAATCACAGTATTGTGGGCACCCCATTTAAGCTCTTCGCCACTTTCAGGATCGGTCCAGGAGAAGCTGTCCCAAACTTTACGCAAGTCTTTAGTGGTGGCCACTTTGCGACTGTAATCCTCGGAGGAGAGATCTAACTGGCTTCGGCTCCAGATGTCCAAGACGCGACGAGGGATGGGTTCGGCTTTCTTAGCAAGCTCCGTCTCGCGCTGATTGATGTTGAGAGTGTCCAGACGATTCGAAATATCCTCGAGTTGGTTGGCCTGGGCTCTCGGGACCCTAGTGCGACTGACTTTGCTGCGTTTTTGGACTTCGATGGCATTGCACATCAGGGTCACGTTCTGAGGCTGGGCCGAACTCCAGATCAAGACTTCCCAGTTTCGCTCTTGGCTTCCCCCGCGATGGTTGGCTTGATCGACAGGAGGACTTAGAGCATATTGGAATAAATCTTCGAGATAAGGTCTGGGATGAATGATCTTAGGATGGCCGGGTTTGTACTCGCGATGTAAGAGGCAGCCGTTGAGATCGAGGATCAAAAGGGGAGGCGGGGTAGGTTTGATCGGCGCTTCCTCTTGGACCGCTCGCTTGGTTTCAGTTTCGGGTGCGGGCTGGGCTGGTTGACTGATTTTGACAGGGGCAACCGAGGGAGGCTCAGAGGCAACTGAGAGACTGAGTTTCTCATTCTCGACTTTCTGGCCGGCGCGCTTTTCGGACACCGGGACTTGGGGTTGGGCCTGGAGGACGAAAGTAAAAGTTAGTATTTACGATTAGATTTTCATGCGCAAGACGATCAAGAGCCGCATAATGATAGAGAAACTCGATAAATCTGCACAAGTTAGTAGGAGGGGCTGCGTTTCATACAGAGAGATTCATATACAGGTCGAAACTCAGATAGATGAAGGGATGAACATAGGGGAGGTCAAGGACCAAACTGACGGCTTGCAACATTTCTCCAGTTGGCCTAGCAAATCGGGAGTGGGATAGTGTGACTACTATTGTGACACTCTGAAGTTTATGATAACGGCAGTTATCAGATCAGAGGACTAGAGATTGGACGATTGATTAGCGCTGCTTTTCTTTTCAGACTGATGCTATATATTTATGTCGTTATAATTCGCAAGTGGTTCGTTCTGTTTGATGATGGATAGATGGATGTTTTGGTTTGGTTTGGTTTTTTGTTGAGATGGGATGAAAGGGATGGTCAACTCGAACTGAAGGGGTTAAGAGGTTTAAATAGCCAGAGTGGTGCGGATAACGGGGCTCGGCGGTAATGAGCTTGTCCGACTTGCTGTTCAGATGAGCATGTGATATTGATAAAGGACTGGCTTGAGAGTTTGTCGAGAGATGACGTCTTTGGCTCTGCTTTTTTTTTGGGGGGGGAGGGTCTGGAGAATTCAATCTATTCTAACCGTCGATCGATCGAGATCATCCACTTGATACGAGTTCGACGCTGATTTGTAGATTGGGGTAAGGTGGTTTTCTGAGCTCGCTACGGTCAGCCAGGGATGATCCAGGGGAATCGATTTATGTATTCACATCGACAGCTGAAAGAAGGTGCTGAAGGAACCCACTAATTTATGTGTGGCGGACGGCCAACCGTTGCCGGGCCGGTCAGGAATTACTGGCAGCAAAGGCTCCATACACAACAACCGATACATCCTTCCACACAGGAATTATCATGCAAATCATTCATCCATTGATGCCGCACACCAGGCAATCTGCGTGACCCGTCAGCATACATGTTTCCTGGGTCCAGTTGAAAGCCATGGAAGAAGAACTCTTCCACACTGGCCATCGAACCAGATCATCTGAGGAGGAGCTGTGTCTGTACAATCATTTATTTACGTATGACATAAACAGTTTTCCCAGTTTACTGGATTCTGGAATACAGGCCAGAGTCCGACGCAATACGGTAGAATACGGTCCAGAAGCCCGACCGGACTGAGATCCCGCAGGGGGTGGAGGGAGAGTCGAGGGCGAGGCTCGAGCTCATTAACCATTCATGGAGATCATCGCTTCCGGAGCTCGGAGCTTGGCACCATGTAAGGCGCGGAACTCGCGGTCTGGACCCGGAGCAACCTTCTTGCATCCAGGAAACAGATCAGAGAGTATGTGCACGAAACATGGGAACAATTCGAGAAGCGGCCGTTTCGAGATCTTAATGGTACGAATATCCTCGATGGCAAAGAACCTCACAAAAGACTCGAGAAGTGAATACTTGGATCATAGTTCATCATGGTGCGGCCGGCCGGCATGAACATTTACCTCCGGCCCAAGTAACGTCAATGACACAAGTCTTGAGCTGGAAGACTGGTTGATGATCTCCAACCTCTAGAGTCTAATGCTTGAGGTATTCCTGCGCAAGTGATCAAGGGGCCAGATAGCGCTGTGATGAACAATGTTGATATGGGGAGTTGAAACGTTCCAAGCACTCGATCACCTTATATACCTCGCGAACGGTCGCGAACACAAGTTGTGGCCAGCCAAAACAGTGAAACAGCCTTCATTGGAGGATGGTCATATTAACCGATGGCTATCCAGCTGCGCGGCGCGGGGGCGAAAAATATCGTGCCTGACAACAGGAAACGATAGCGCTTTCCAATCCAAAACGAACCAATCAAAGGGTTGGTAGATGGAAAGAGGGCAAGGAAAGGAGTTTGATAATCAAACATAGTCTCAATGGAAACCAGACCAAACAAATAAAAAAAAGGGGAAAAGCTCGGTGATCTGAAGTTGGACTGCTTGAGAAGGAAAATGCAGGAAGCAAAGCGGAAAAAAATGTATATGTCTCGTTTACCTCTGCACGATTAAGGAAGATTGATCTTCTCCAAGCCGGCCGCGGTAGAAAAGGGGGAGTTGGCGAGAGACTGATCAGGCTCGGGCCGTACATTGTTGACCGTCTGCCGACGAGGAGTACATCAAAGGCATTCGAAGGTCTGATAAGTCGTTGGTAAGCCATCGTCGAGGTTTTCTATCCCTTTCGTTCTGCGATTCACCAGTTCAAAATTTCAGCGATCGATCGGGTTTCGGGGCAGAGTGGTCCGTGGAGATTCGGAGACGTCGATTAGGAGAAAAATGGTGGAGCCGGTGAATGTCGTTCGAAATTTTTACATCTCCAGATCTTCCCCCACATTTCTGCGCGACTCTCAAAATGGATATCCATAACAAGCCTCGTCACATTTTTCTATTTGCAGCATCAACCCTCCATGCCAGTCCCAGCATCGAGATCTTATCCTTTGCCTAGAGTCCACCTTTCATTTCTTCGAAGTTTGTCCGATCTACTTGGTATTTGAGAAACAATCTCTAAAGTTGAATGCTGTGTCGGCTTTGATGAATTGTCTCTGCTCTTTATTTCTTGCTTGTGGTTCTTTCCTCGAGCGGAACTAGTTTCCTCAGAGGTGCAACAGTCCCTTACACCCCTTGAAAATGGAGGTAAGCATCCACTCATGTCTACTGAGAGCTACCTGGATCTGCGGCTGCACAGGTCGGGTGACGTCCTTTTGGGCAAGGCCCAGTCGCACTTTATCCTCATCCGATTGCTTTGGAGTTGGCCATGGCACACGGCTTGTGGGCCTCGCCATGCCGGCCGGTCCGGGCTTTTTTTTCTCAGAGGTTTTGGCTGTTTGGGACTCATTTTGGTGCACATTTAATTCCTATGTATCTCACTCATACTTGAAGCACCTTCTCACTTCTCACTGTTTCTAATACTCAGGGAGGGTGCATAGTGACGTACATATTAGTACACGCACAGCACATGGAGGCTGGAGCTCTACATAGGCAAGAGGCCCTCGCGCGGGAGCTTTTTTGTTTCAGAGAGGTTTCACCCGGAATTATTCCCTTCCTTCAATCACGCACTGATTTTAATATTACAGTTTACTGAACCAAAGCCAATTATCCTGTTTATCGCAACTCCAATAGAAAGTTATCTACACAGCACAAGAATCGAAACAACAAGCAATGGATGACCCGGAGCAATGGATGGACGAGGAAGATGAAGAAGACGAAGCTGAACAGTTGGAATTAAGGAACAAATTGAGGAGCGCTCGGTGGTATAGTCTTGCACCAACTCGTGAACAAGGTCAGCTCATTACCATCAAATATGCACCCGATAGAATCTATACTGATGATATATTGTTTCTCAGCTTTGATCACAGGAGCATTTCGAAAGTTGCTTCCGAAAATTTCTGGATACGTCGATCGATTTCGTATTACCAACAGCAAGTTAAAAATGTCGCCCGACTTCAGTAGCCATTGCCATCGAATCAAAGAGATCCTTTTGCCGTGTATGCTAGATAACCTGTTCCGCCTGTGTGCTCTTCTGTTCAGTCCCGCCCACTTTAAGCGAGAGGTATTGCCCGAGTTTCAAGCCGGATTGTACGCCCTGAAAGGAATTGAGGAGGCTGTAGATCAAATTTCTGCCGCAATGATTTCGTTTTGGTTGCCCGAGGATACCACGACGAATTCTCACCCAACGGAACTCCCAGACATCAAACATTATCGATGTGAACTCACTCAATCCAAGACAGCCGATATCATGAACAAATTGACCATAATACTTGACCTATATGGTAGCATGTTAGGTGTCTCGATAGGGCTATGTGACATTGAAGTAGTGGATGAGACATGGATGTGTATGGTTGACGGTACTCGCCTGATGCGGGATGGTGTAAATCAGCTTATCGAATGGTTCAGATTATCGGATCATGGGGTTCTTCAGGATCAGTGGCGGACAATGGCTGAAGAAGCTGAAGAACTGCTACAACACTTGGCAGAATTACCGTCCTTGAATTCCAGCATACAAATACAACGAGACTCCATTGCACTTATCAAGGTGTCAAGATTGTTTTTCAAGAAGATCTCGCAAGTGACCAAGAGCGAATTCCACCCGATCTGGCGGATGACCCCAATCCAACTCGCACATTTTATGGACTCGACCCGCTTTTTCCCGAGCGTCCTAGAAGCTTTTGTCTACAGCATCGAACATGAGCCCAATCCTCATGATCATAATATTGAAATGGAGCCGACTAATGATCTCGTCAAATATTTTGAAGAGCCCATCCGGATTTTAAACGACTACTTGGAATCAGCTCATCAAGGCTCTAATCCTACTCCGACTCAAGTCCAGTCACATCACGAATTTTGCGAATGGCACACAACGTGGAACAAACAATTCACCTTAGCTGTTGACCGTTTCCAAGCTACATACAGAGAGGTGCATTCAGGTCTTCAAGACCGGGAAGATCAGGTTTGATAATTACAATTTGCTTTTCATTTCTTAACATTTTGTACTAGATTATGGTGGAATAGTCCTCCTGGAGGAAACTTATCATTTATAAACTTCTTATGATTCTCTTTCTGTTTTATTTCGCCTTGTTCAGTCAATTTTTTATTTTATTTTTTACTTGTTTCAAAAAGCTATTGTATTCGGAGCTAGCATGTACTTCAAAACTTTCATGTTTTATCTTACTCGACAAAGGCTTCTCGTAGTCGTTATTGCCCAATGAAGTTAAATGCTGCCAGCAGTAATCCCCCCAGTGATCAACCGGTGAATATAAAATCGGTCAACTGAGTTGAACCAAAGTTGTCTGGATGATCTTGGACGCTGATAGAGCGTAATCTACCGAGTAACTGTCGGAGGTACTGAGAAAGGAAGAAATAGGACTTGCAAGGCCGCGAGGATCAGAAAACTTAGTCGAGGAATTAAAGTGCAAGAGAAAGCAGTCGAAATTCAGAATATATGAATGAGTCGAAACAACAAGAAATTTAGAGGAAAAGGACCCCAATAATTTGTGCAGTCATAACTCGGGCTTGGTATCAACATACACTCTTGCTAGCACATGTGAACCATCTGCCTCATACATGTAGATCCCATTGGAACAGACTAGCAACTGCTAGCAATTCTGGTTACATCGGAACTAATTATCTGAGGCTAATGTCTGATTCTCAAGGCAGTTATATACATTTCTAGACTCGATCAATGAACATTTTCAGCTTTACTGACAGCCTTATTGCTTTTTGGGAGTCTGAACGACGACTTCAGCCTGCTCGATGCCGACAAGTACAGCACACCAATTTCATATAAGGATTATTATCCCTTTTTACTTTCTTCATTTCTCAAGATAGGCAGAGGGGCTCATATGAGGGAGAAAGCATCCCCTCCCTATGATCGGCGTGGCTTTTGCTGTTAGCTGGATGATAAACAGAGAATAAATCTCTTTTCTTGCTGCTGTGTTCAACAACTTGCTCCCGACATTGGTCTCTGGAGTGGGATGGTTGCAGTATCACCCTGCTTAGAATATGGAATTCATATTTCAAATTTTAATACCCTTTTCACATTATTAAGCACTCTTCCATCAAGAGTGATCTTGCTTGGAACATCTGCATCTATGTATCATTTGATTTGTTCGATGTGTTTTACAGGCAAGGTCGCCATGGACCCTCTTCCGAGGATTATTCTAAATTGGTAGGCTGATCATGGAGTCCTCACGAACCTGGGTACGTGCTTTCGCTCGTAATGTACGTCTGTTGGGTCATTTTCAACCGGCACTCGGAGCTTTTTTTTATAATTTGTATCCTTGAAGGGCTTGACTTAACTATACTTTAACTGGATACAGAAGCATGCAAGCTTAAATGTTGTTCTAAGCGGAAGCGTGTAAAGGGGGTCATATGAAAGTTTAAAGAGACGCCACACGGAGATTAACGAAAGGAAAATAAAGCTCCAATTTTTAGTCATAGCTTGACGACCTTCTGTAGAGTGGATTGTTCTAACCCAATTGACGCAATAATAATGGAAGTTACCACTTGGGCGCAAACATCAAATGATCCCATGTAGAGCATTTTCCGCGGAAATTTGTCTCGCGATGCCCTTTTCCTCCTCCGGTCAAAGTCGCCGACACCATCACCCCTAGTAGTAGTATGTTTCCATATTTGCAGTGCGAGACTGAGTAGACTAGAGGCTAAAGTGATTGCTCAGCCTCTCTCTCAGGCGCCTCTTGCTTTTTGGTACTGTCAAAGGAACACCTGCGTAATTTCCCCTCTGTCTAAGGCTATATATTCAGCACTTTCTAGCACCTCAATCAAAACTTCACCACAGTTTGTTCCTGCCTCTCGCTCGATAACATACTAATTCCCAATATCCAAAACCCGTTTGCACTTCTCTACTCAACTCTCTTCGTCTCTGGAACATCTTCCTCTGTTCCTCTACAAGTCCTTCCTCAAGTTATTATTCACATCTCAACAAAATCAGCTCTCTCGTCAATTCGAGACCGACGCGCCAATTTCACCTACCTGAAATTGAGCATTGCATCCAGTGAGAATACTTCATCCACCTCGACATAACTAGAACAAGATGGCCGAGCAAACCGTTTCAATAGAGCGGTATGAGGGTCAGTCCAATCATCAAGAAAATACGCTATCAGCCATATAAAGGCATTCTGATGATCAATTTTCCTTTATGATTAGATTTAATCCAAAATAGGTTCCAGCTATTGCTTTCGAAACTGCAGAACTACGCGATTAGGATAGATCAAAACAGCCTAACCCCGCGAGACACTGCACCTATTGTCAATGAGGGATCCCACCAGGCTCTAACGACACTTCTTTTATCCCTCAGGAGATGTGTCTACGAACTGTCAGCCACATTGTCCCATCCCTTGTTGGCATCAAGGGACACGTTATACGACCTCTGGGCAAGCTTTCAAACGCTACTCGAGATTGACAACACGCTCAATCATATAATTGCTTTGACAACGGCGCCAGTGCTGACATCGATGGGACCGATTCACGTGCCAAACCACGAAAACGCGTCCATAACGATGGAACTGTCAGCTTCACAGCAAGAAAAGTTCTTGCAAGTCTTCAACGAACTGGGTCGGCACCTCTGCTTATACTACATCAGGCTGCCGATTTCAGAAGCAAAAAACGATGTTGAGATTGCAAGTACGTTGAGGTCAAACGTTCAACACCTAGGACAATGTATAGATGAGGCTATCGAGCAGTTTTCTCGAATCGACACTCGGGCGTACAAATCATGGTGGCACGCGATGGCCAACGAAATGGAAGAGACCCTCCGGCAGCCGGTCCAGACTCTCGATCAAGAAGCAAGTGGTCCGGAAGCCGAGAAAGTCCAACACTTGTGTCGCGAGTCGATTCCAATTGTCAAGCTGACGCGTCTCCTCTTGAATAAGATGTCCAGGCCAACCAACAGCGAAGTTCACCCGATATCGCTGATGGAACCCAGAAACCTCATCGCATTAACGCATTCTACCCGCATGCTCGCGATTGATCTACATGATTTCGTCGAAAGTATCCACATCTTCGACCCACACCCTGACTTGTTTAACCAGGAGCCGGTCGAAAACATCGAGGAGGCTGTAGAGGAAACATTGCAGATCATCAATGGTTTCTTGGAGGAATATTCTGATCCCAACGATGAAAACTTCAGCAACCGTTGGAGGGATTGGTACGAACGATGGAGGGACGCGTTTGATTTGGCGGTGGAACGTTTCCAGACAACATTGGTAGCTATCAACTCATAGCCCAAAGGTTGAATTAACGATGTACACTAAATGTATTTTTAGACAAAGTCATTTTAACTTCTGGATGCAGTTTTTGGAAACGCCTGTAAGATCATTAAGCCCCAAGGATTGTAGTTGTAGCCTTATTTATTCATACCCATGTACTGTTTGTAAAATACTAAAATTAAATAAAAAATTTGCATCGCTGGACTCTCTCAGAGGCTGCTATACTTTCCCCTGGCACGCGCTACCCTCACAGGGTGATTCGAGTGTTCCATCATCTTTAAAGTGGATAGTTTGATGATCTGTTGTTGAAAGTGGACATCGATTTGCGTACAATCGAGAAACGAGACAACAATCCAAGCAACCTAGGCCATCATGGGGCTCTTCTTGAGACATCTTTCAGCTTTCGCGAACTGCTTAGACGGTCTGACAAGTTACTGAGATATGGATCTATTTAAGTGAGACATGTAACTCGATTGCTACCTCTCAAAACCATGGTTCCCACATATCCATCCAATTGTGGATGAGTGATGTAGCTGAAACCCCCAGATAGTGCCAGGATGTGAGTTGATCCTACATTAAGAACATGTAAATCCGGTAAGAGAGGAATCTTCAGCTGTCATGAGAGCTGGCGACTTGAAATTGAGCCTGCCAGCAATGAGCAATGTTGCGATTGAGCTGATTGTTTAGAAATGAGCGGAAGACTCCAGGTGGGAAAAAAATTCTATGTGGGTAAATGAGCAAAAGAAGAATAAAAGGTTTTAAAGCCGAGAACTCTAAGAGGAATCGTTTGACCATCTTGTCCTCAGATATTCATGAGGATAAATAGGAAGAGTACCTATCATTTCATCCTAGTGATCAATTTATGGCAATGGGTCGTTCTTGATAATGCTTGGATTGGGGTGGAAATAAATGGAGATCAAAGACATTAAACGCGCGATTAGTCCGACAAAAATCTGCCATAGCAGGCTCGCTAATGAAAACAATGCAATGTTAGACTTGGACGGATAGGGGAAGGGTGTTGAAAATCTTTCGGGCTTTAGCGGTAACCACAAATCTGCGGTGCATCATCTGTCATACATGATACATCGACGAACGGAGCATTCAAGTCTTCTTCATGGATATGATCCCTACTACCTAGAGATCTTTGAATGTTGATGTATTCAGTTGGATTCGGATTGGTCTCATTGAGGATGGAGGTGGAAGGAATTCACAGAGACATTGTCAGACTTTTAGATGACAAAACTTACAAGTCATCTAGATGCAAGATGCTCACTGGATCTCGAGCTACTGAAGAATGGTGTCTATAGTGCTTGTGTGCGGCGATTTCTTTTGATGACTTCTGAAGCTTCCGTGTAACTGCGCTGCAGAGAAAAGGAGCTAGGTGCTAAATCTGATGCGGGGGTAAAATGGATGGTAAAGGGATGCAATGCTTTCAGGCAATTGCGCACTTAAGTGAAGTACGAAAGGGTGGGGTCAAGATGGTTCTTCCATACCCTAAATGAAGATTAGGATGCACACAGGGTCATGTTAACAGGCAGATGGTGTGGCTCCTGAAGGAAAAGAACTCCAGGACTGGAGCCTGGCACAGGATGGCAGAAATTGAATAATGAACTGGTGGGTGCACAGCGGTACACAGATGCTCTTTTGACCAAACTCCAAAGGTCACTGAGAAAGCACGATGGCCCGGGCGCGACCAAGGCGGAACCAAGGCGCGTAATTACTGCGCACAGCCGGACCGCATAGAGAGAATCTCCGCCGTGGTGATGATGGTAATGAAAGACACAATTTGGTGATGTGCAAGTAGAATCTCACTTTTGCCCAGAGGAGCTACATACATGTAGCATTTTCAGATGCAGAGGTATTAAAGCTCTCTGCCCCCCCCCCCCACCCACCCACCCAGTAGAATCCCAATGGAAATTTATGCAGATTGAAAATCAGAGTGAAATTTGTGGAGAATTGAGACAGGGTGCACAGATTCATGTCCATGACAACAATACTGAGATACCAGAATCGTGTGCTTGTTTCCCACATCATTTGTGCCAATTTTTTTATAATTTAGGATTTAACAATGTATGAATGAAGGATTTCACTTTGATTATCACTTGTTGAGTTTAAAAATAAGCAAAAGCAAAAAAAAGGCAGCGGTGCCCACTTCTGAAATTTTTGGAGTAACAGGAGATATGTATACAGCCAACTCTGAGATAGCACATAACTCTCAGGAGAAGGTATTTGGTATGGGTGAGGCAATTCTCCATCATAAAATGCTGACATGGGATGAGATATTTGGAGCACAGGGAATGGGGAGATGTATATCTTGTCAGGAACAAACAACAAAAATATGGAGAAGAAACATTCAGATTCCATGAGAATTTTTCTTCTCATGCTACCCATATTTTTCTCACAATTAGTATGGGTCAAAATTACTGGTGAATGCAGATCTATGTGTTGAGATCCATTTTTTTCTGCCGACCAGTTTGGTGGACAAATTTCTGTATGGTTCTTCTCAGCTATGGGTTGTGTCAGAGCTGACTGTAAAACAATAACTCATTAAACTTATATTGATTTCCTTCAAATCAGAAGCACTTCAATTCCCCATCTTTCCTTTTCCAAATACATCATCATAGTTTCCTACCATTGGCAATACCTTGTAAGTTTCAAGATCCATCCCTGGATCCTTATAGTTATACATCAAACTGCTCCTCTCCTTGCCAATGCAGGTAACTGCTTGTAATAAATTGCTGATATGAGCATGAATCCACATCATGTTGAGCAACACCCAACTTCCAGCAACTTTATCAGCCACATGAAGATCTGAAACTTGCCTATTTGATTGTGAAAAAGGAACTTTCTCATGTGGCTATGTAATCCATCCCCAGCCCACCCATTCTTCACATCCATATTTCCTTTCTCAAAACCAACAGTGGCTGTTTTTTGTGGCATGAGGTTTCATTCTCTGTTTTATTTCTGCTTTTTTTTTCTTGTAAAAAAGAAACTCAATTTGTACCATCATGATGATTTTGGAATCTGGATAAACTGCCTGCTTCAAAGTTGGTCTAGCAGTAACAGCCATCTACTACTACAAATTCTTGCCTCTTTTCAACAATCAAGTGGCAATATACTGAGTCAACTGAATTCTGTAAATGCCCTTTTACATCAAACTAATTAAACATCTGCATTTATCTACAACTTAGAGGCAGTAGACAAAAAATCTACAAACAATTTCAGTTTAGATTGCTTCTTGATAGCTTCTTTTTTCCTTGTTAATGTTGTGCAATTCTCTTCAGGATAAGCTGGATGCAAAAACTGCAATACAAATTAATATTATCAAGTATCATGATAATATCTTCTGTTGATAGGTTTATTGACTTTTTTTCTCTCTGAATGAAAAATGCAAAGGAAAAAAAAACTGGGAAGATTTTGATAGAGGTGGGCGTTGAGGAAGAAAGACGCTCCTGACTCAAGGCTTTCAGCACTTCCCCGATTAACCCAAGTTGACACCGGTGCACGTATACTATCTAAGGTTCTAGATAAATATGTAAATACCAGCCCGCTCGTCGTTTGTAGTAAAATTAGAGAAAATCAGGCCTTTTCCTCATTCGTATACCGGATCCGTGGCGCGTATATAGCTCACCTTCTACGTCGGTTTCGCATATTCAGGGGGTACTTAGTGCAGAAACGACCAGCGAATAGAGAGAGTTGACAGCTCCAAAGTCGATACCATTCGCGATATTTTTCAGGTGAATCTTGAGATGACTCGGCATTTGGACCTTTGTGAGAGAGATGATCGATCAAATTTTTGACTGAAGGTTGGAACTTCTCCACAAGATCAAAGATCTTCGTTGCATGAATGCCACCGTTTTTAGCCTCGTCATATTTCATGCCAGTGATATAGGTGTCGAGCTCTAAAGGAAGATATTCTGTAGTTTTGATGAGGGCTAGCAGCTGATCTGAACTCATTTGTGACAATGGATGAGGTTCGCCATTGGTCGGTTTAGACAGTTTGTTGAAAAAGAGTCTCGTTAGCTTGATAACTGGGATGGAGTCCAGGAGGGGTTGAAAATGTAGTTCGGTCCCGCTCCCGATCGCATCCTGCAGCAGATCTTCAACGCCTTGGGCCATGCGTTGCCATCGAGCTCGAAGTAACCCGAGATCCGACAGTTCAAATGATTTGATGACATTATCGATCGCGTGCTTTGCGAGAGAAGTGTCCTCAATTACATTCTTCCAGTCGCATTTGAAGATAGTGGTGATCGCAAATAACTGAAATTGATCATCATAAAGGGAGAGTAGCCCTTCGATTTGCTTGAGGATCTCGACGATTTTGTATTGCAACATTTCACATCGGTAGCTATTCAGATCCCAATCCTTGAAATATCCTCCTGCAGCCTCAAGCGAAAGCGAGTTCGTTAAATAAGTTATTCGGTCTACAGTGTCGTCAACTTCTGCTAGAATTGCTGCGGCGGATTGATCATTTAGAGCTTCGGGTTTTTGAGGGTAGATTATAGGGCTTGGTAATAGTTTACGCATCCGGTCAAGTCCCCCTTTTAAGGATGGCAGAAGCAGCGTTTTAATTTCATGGATATGGCTTTCGAACTCCGGCGAGACTGCTTGTGACCCGAAGTGCCGAATGTAGACAAACTGAGCGACATTTCCATGAATCTTCCGTAGCGATCTTTCAAACGCTTGTGCGATCAAGTCTACTAAAATATTTCCCATCAATGCGCGGCTTCCTACTTATTCCATTAACTCATCACCCTCACCTTGATCTCGGGTGAACCCTGGGGTATGCTGAAGAACTTGCGCCTGTTCTCGCATTTCTCGTTCTTGCAATGACCGCAATAGTCGAGGGTTGTAGAATTCAAAGCTCCCGCTTCCAGGACTCAAAAGTATGTAGGCAGTGCCAAGAATCGAGGAAACTGCAAGTATGTAATGTTTCTTGATTAGTTCAACAAATCAAGTATCAAGTCAAGATTGAGTGGAAAGCTCAATACACCTGAAGAGGGTAACTACTAATTCTGTATAAGAGGAAGGATGGCAACGACTTTCTTGATAAATGAAGATTTCTTCATGATTATATGATGCAAAAAGGATAACAATCAGCTTAATGGTTATTCACTCAAGAGCAAGAACGTTGAAGATAAGCTAGTTAGTACTATGGAAATACCTACATGACGCGTCCCAATGGTACACGTGTGGGGTAATCTGGTTGAGAGATGAAAATAGAATCATTGATCCTTTCCATTCCATCTTTTTTTGAAGAGAGGTTTGCTTTAAGACTACTTACCGTTTCAGTGCGAGAGTGATAATCCTTGTCTGGATATTCTTGCCGAGTCGATGCCTGAACCAATTTTCATGTTCAATCAAGGCTTCGAGAGGTTTCCGGTCTTGCTCTGATGTATGTAGCTTACCGGCAGTGGGTCAAGTATTATCCTTCCACGCAGCTCTGGGTAATCTTTCGTTGACGAAAGCACTTGAGTTCAGATGGGGAATTGGAGCTTTGCCTCGCTCTGATCATGAAACGGTCAACAGAGGTCAAGAGAACCGAGGACCGATTTTGATCAATTTTTTGATTTTGATTTGTTCTGCCTTCAATGACGTCATCCTAGTTTACCACCCCGTTTCTTCCTCCTCTTCAACTGGGGGGTCCCGATTCCCGAATGTGGTGATGGCGGCAATGGTGATCGGACCGTTGGAAGCAGTTGATGATCATTCGGGATGTTACGGGGATTGCATGACACCGGGCGTATTTCTCTCTATTATGCAGTTCATCATGTTTTCGTTCCTTGCCTTTTTATTTTTCCACATTGGATCTTTTTCTAGTCTGGACCCATTCGGTCAACTCAGATGTTGTCACTCATAAAAAAAAGGCACATTATTCATTTCCTCTCTGCTATAGGAGAATGCAGGAGAGGAAGACAAGCTGGTTTTATTAATCCATTTGAAAGCAACTAGAAAAAGTTTACATACTGGCAGATTTGTGAAACAGGGAGGGGTAAGGGAAAGATATCCCGGGAAGGCTAAGGAGGGAGATTACTGGTGAAACCCATTATAGGTGGAATTAAATTCTAGTAAGTGGAAATGTAAATTACAAGACCTGATTTTTTGGAGAATAAAAAAGATTTGTTGCATAACGCAAATAAATATGTATCATATATCCTTGGTCCCATCGAGATTTGAATGGAAAGCCCCCAAGCGGATGCTCTTCTGACACTCCTACATGGGCAGATTTCTTTACTATATTGTGATGGTGATAATAACTGAATTTGTCCATTAAAAAGTATATATGTTTTTCAAGTTGATTCCACCTGGATCAAAGGGATTTGTTTACCATCTGGTGCTTTTTGACATGATCTGCCTAGAAAGCAAACAAGTTGAGTTTTGTTTGAAGATGGTGCCAAGATCCCACCGGCTTGAGGATTAAACAAACAATCTGTCAATCGCTCATAGCATGATACATATTCCGGTCCGGGGTTTGTCTTCAAGAATCGTTTGTGAAGTTCGTTCACTTGCTTCTTAAAATCGGGGGAAGACCGATCGAGATTCATGATCCCGATCTGCTCCAGTTCTTCAGCAATTTCTACCGGTAAGACCCCATATATCTGAATTTTCCCAGGTTGCAGAAGTACAAAAAATGCGATTTAAGTTGATTTTTTGCAATTTTTAGGGTTTCCCTTCACAGAAGTACGTACCTGTTGAATGTAACCATATATGATCTGTCGAAGTGCCGCTGGAGGACCGTCAGGCTATTTTTGTTTGAAAGAAAAATTTAGAACATAAATTCATTCTATGTAGATTTCAAAATTTAAATTATTATCTGACCTTTTCCAAGCAACGAGCAGTGGCTGCTTTATTTGCTGCAGTGTCTGGATCAGTGACTCCAACAACGGTATCCAAGCAATCTGCGATTTTATAAGCGTAGACTACCTGTGATTTAAGCCGCGGTAAATCAAAAAAAAGGAAAGTAGCAGATCAGTGAGCAGCCGTTCTTCTTTCAGTGCAAAGAAATGTTGCTGTTTTTCCTGATAAGTAGCATCGGTCTGACCTCATTTCCCGAATTTGAAGCAACGATGGACTGAACTGTATTTGAGATGGCGTTTCTGAAAAATGTCTCTTCTGGTTTTGCATGAACTCCCTTCTCTAGGTATGCATCGGAGATACTGTGAATACTTTCTAAGACGTTTGGTGTCACGTAGCCAACAAACTATCATAATGCCACAAGTAAAATATTGGGCAGCGATTTATGATTAATATTCGCACATGACTGGATTGAGGAAAAATAAAAAGCTTCACCTGGTTGGTAATGGTTAGATAAAGAGTCTTCAGATCGCGGAAAACAGAAGAGTGATTGGCGGCACTATCTCGGTTGCACTCCCGGGTTTTGCGCAGTCTTTCCTCGTACGATATAGGGGAAAACAAAGTCGATTTGAAACATCTGAAGGCATCATCAAGAGCCTGGACTAATGCGCCGGCAATTGCACGTTGGACACTCGCGATCGCATTTTCAATCGCGGAGAAAAAAACTTTCTCGCCTGGGATTAATGATGTGAATACGGGATCTAGTGCTTCGGTGGTCAATTCTAATATGTTCGGTGGTAGAATCCCATCGCCAAAGTTTTGTAAGACACTTGTCAAGATCTACGTATCAGATAGTGCCAGTTTCAGTGAATTTTCGGAAGATGATTATTTCGAGCCTTGAAGTTAAACTTACCTCCGAAACACCTGTGATAGAAAGACCTGCCTATTTTTTCCTAGATTAGAAATCTTCCTGTCACGGCTGTGATATTCTACAAAAATGACTTACAATGACGCAACTTTCACCGTCTTTTAAACCGCCTTGTTCAACCAGGTTTGATAGGCAGTTTCTTAGGTCAATGAACTTTAAAGCCCCGTTTGAAGAGGATAGCAGTTGATCTGTAACGTCATTGATACTATTCAAAGTATCATTAATGGCTGTCGACATTGATTGCAGTTTACTCTGGGTCAATTGAGTCGAGTTTCCAAAATTTTGGTATAGCTGATATGACATGGCTAGTTATTTCAAAAAAAAAGATAAAGCAAAAGGTCAGGATGTGTTATGCTTCTTTTGATTCTCCTGTGGGTAGACGAAATTGACGACCAAGATGACCAACCTCCATGCATCACACTCTTGAATAGGGTAACTGTCTTGGAATTATCATTAAGTGAAGGAGAAGTTGAATAATTGCCAAGGGCGCTTGCGAACTGTTCGACAACCCGAGAGGCATCATTTCTCAATTGAGATGATGTGGCGATTCCGGAATAATTGAAGACATTGGTTTGCGGGGCCTGATTTTCTTGTAAATAGAGCTTCGATTGCGCCTTCACCCAAGCAAGGCCATTGCAGATTGTCAATGTGGCAAGGAAAAAGCTTTTCGTGTTCATTGGCGCTGTAACTTGATTGCGGAGGTAGAAGACTTTGGTTCTTTCAGTTGAAAAGCTTAACACTGTGTTGGGATCTTCAGGACAAGTTGCTTGGAAGTTGTGATATTGGGCTTAAAGAGTGGATTGTTCGACGGGGTTTTTAAGAAACTTAGCTGAGCGTAAGCAAGTGGGTCAAAACAATGCCGACAGTGTGCTTTCTCAAACACCACAAGATGATGCATGGTAAGAGAGAGGGAAGCTTTTGCGGCAGGCCAAAGAACGCCCCGAAAAATTTACTTCCCTGCAACCTTCAGCAACTGCGACAGACCGGGTCAATTAGCGTACAGTGTTCGAGACGTGTCGAGTAGCTTGGCCTTCAAACATTCAAGTCGTCCATACAAACCATCGGATAGACGCTTCCTAGTGCTGATCGGCCATTGGTGTACTGCCTGTGAAACATGCAACAGCTTTAAAACACATCGAGATTGGAGATATATTTGCTCCAATTTTGCAATTATGATTCGATTGTCGAAGAGAGGAAATAGCTATCGCACACCATCGCAGCATGCCATGAGGGTAAATAACATGGATCAGAAAATCCGGCGAGAAGTTGTGAAGATGAGCAGAATTCTTGTGATTTGTTCCAGGATGTTTGGTGTCCTACTGAAATCTAGACTGCTTACACAAGTCCTCTGAAGTCCTCAAGTCACCAAGAGCTATGAGAAAATGCAGCTCCAAGGGATTTTCTTTGAGCAGCTGAATAGATTCGCTTCTTGAGATAGTATAAATGGACCAGGGGAGCACTCTCTAGACCAACGTCTGAATTCCTCTGCTGTGGGGAAAGCAATCACAAGTAGACACTTGATTTGGTGGACTACTCTTCATGCAGACTGTGCCAACCAGTTCTAAATACCTGAACCATTGGACATCAAACTGTTTGAAACCAGTCTGACTGACCCTGACTGGAAGCTTTTAAAGCAGCCAAAATCCATATATTTTTAGCTAAAATGACAAAGCATAAAGGGTAGAAACTTCACAAGGAAATAATTTGTGTACAACATAGCCTAAATAGTTGAGCTCTACCATTAAATGGAGATGTAACCAGGACTGTCTTGTATAGATAAAATCTAAACCCAGTTCTCACAATGGAATGTGGTGGATAATGATTCTTCTTGGGCATGTAGTAACCAGTAATTACCCAGTTGAACTGTAATCCTATCATATTTGAGTCCTGATATTTTGATGGACACATTACATTAGATATTGGATTATAAAAACTGACCCAGGGAACTCTTAATCACAATTTGTGTTGAGAGAACCAATCAAGATTTGAAATGCTCTGAGATCTGATGGGTTTTATCACACTTAATGGAGGGTTGGAGTTAGTAGGGAAACTGGCAGTGGTTATACACTTTTAGATGAAATCCTAAAAGGAAAGTATGTTTAGAAGAATAAAGAATAAGCTTTGACAGATTAGAACAAAAATTTGGAACAAATAGAAGACCAAAAGGGTGTTGAGCTCACCACCATCTTGTGGAGAGATTTTAGTTTCAAAGGATGAGATCAGAGCTCTGAAGACTGAAGGGCCAGAATCCTAACCAATTCTACCAATAGGACTCAATATTATGGGAGATTTATATTGTTTGTTTGTGATATCGTGCTTTTTTTCTTTGATCTCACATTTCACCCAATAGTTCCACACAGTTTTGATTTGAATCCATGGAACCAATTCTAACATGCTTCAGTTTGTATATTTACATAAATTATCCCAGTTCACAATAGCCAGTCATCAGAAAACATTTTAGCTGTAATCATCAAATCATTGATACTTAAGGACACATCCATTTTTGAATGTTGAGTTCATTCCCCCAAATTATTCCAGATCCTTCCAAAAAAATTTGCTATCAGCAACTTTTAACAAGGCAATTGGCCATTGGAACTGGCTATTGTGAACCAGGCTATTCTGAACACAATCACACTTGTGATATTGTGAGGATGTCAAATTCCTAGCCATACAATCACACTCATTCACACTTCAGCTGCAGATTGAGTACAATAGGGCCAGTTCAAGCCAGGCTACCATCAGAACTACATGTAATTATGTCATCAGAAAGTAGGTGATCATCTACCGGTAATCAGGGCTTCATCTTGGACTCTGTGAGATCTTACTAAGATTTCAACAGTATTGGAGCTCACAATCCAATTTGGTATGATTGCTAGCAGAAGTGAGGATCCTCTGACTCAGAAGATGCTTCCAAGTCTTCTTCAGGTGCCCTGCTGCATATAACACATGTCTTACAACAAACAGCAGTGGTATTTTTTTTTGGTGGATCAGCAAGCTCAACATAAAAATATTGATTCTTTTTCAAGTGCTTGCTGTTGAAATTCCAACTGATTCCTTCTCTTTTTACTCATGACTCTTTCATTTCCTCCCCTCTATTATTTTAAGTCATTTTGAATTCTTTAGATCATAGTCTGTTGTAGACCTGTTTTGTATAATAAGAGCCCCCTTTGTAGTCATGAACCCTAGGTAGAAACCCTCTTATTAACACTCATGTTCTTCACTTATCTTTTTCTAATTATATTCATTATTGACTGTTTTTCTCTTGTTTGAATATTCAATTACACAACCACTTTTTGATCAGCTTGTACGTAGTCTATTTAAAAACTAGCCAGTTACAAGAAATGAAAAAGTCATTGGTTCTTACCTTCATTTTTTGCAAAATTGAACTGCTCCAGTGAGAATTCCCACATTCACTGTTCAAAACTTCTCTCTCCTCTCTTGATTGAAGGTCCTAAGTTCAACACTTGCCAAATCAATGGGTATCCATCTTTTGTGACAGGTCCCTTTGAAATTCCTGGATGATTGATGACAAAATTGCCAGCTACAATTTTTAGACCCTATAGGCTATATTTCATACTCTTATATTCACATATATTTACACTCATAATTTATAGAGAGATCAGTACCATACTCAAGAGTGTGGAAATTTGCTCTAACAGCACAAGTTAACTGATGATTTGATAATTTTTTTTCTTGCAGATTTTTCTTTTTTTTCCTTGGGAGGCCGTGGTTTTTCATGATCTCTATAGAATCGGGGGTTGATAGCTGGCTGGTGTTTTTCACAGTAAGACATTGTTATAGGCGCAGTTACCTTGTGGCACCGCTTACACTGATACACGTAGCTCATTGCCTCTTGCTGGCACACACCATTGTCGGAGTTGATACATTGAGTCCATCGCGAAACTCTCTTCGCATCCGTACACTGGCATGTTGACCAGACTTCCACCACAACCAAAGCAACCATGACCAAGAGACTGACGTTGAAGAATTTTAGTGACCATGATTTCCGGATCATAGCGATATGATTGAGAATTTGTGAGTATTGTTGAGTAATATTTAAACTATGCAGATAAGATTCGAGATTTGAAGTTGCAGTAAGTGCCTATCAACGGCGATCCTGTTACGAGAAGATTCTGGGAAAGACTGGTCTCATCATCAACGTCTTGCAAGCTCTCAACATGATTCGAACGCACACCAACCTTTTGAAATACAAGGAGTGATTTTGACGCGGTGCAACCAAATCCAACTAGACTATTGAGTAATAGACAAGAATAGACTTACACAATCAGCGCCAAGTGCGAATTGTCATAGAAAGTTCTGGGCGGCGGAAAGTAGCTTCTCTGAACCATGCAGTGGTGTCCAACCCCGCCCAGCGGTCCAAGAAGAACAGCCCTAAAAAAAAAGACAAAAATTGTGTTAGGAAATATCCATTGGGTGCGCAGGTGTGGCTATTTCCCATGCAGTTCGAAGGTCATTCCCTCCAAGATCTTTTGATCACAGAAGATGAAATTTGGCGAGCCTCCGTTGTATCCCACCAGATACGACTCAAGAGGCTTTATGCGAAGCGTGCATTGTGCTAGTGCCTTGACATGATGAACAAGCAAGTTTGTAGAGCATCAGAATCCTGGATGAACTGGGAGGTATACTTGAATTAAAAGGAGAAATTAAGTCCATGGACACGGCAGCCGGAGTGGATCACGCAAGATACGCGCTGCGGCCGGGTACAGCTACACGCAGGCCGCTAGACCGGCCGATCGAGGCGGAGGGGAGAGCTTGCGGGCTGTGGGCCTCTGTAGTACTGACAACCCAAAGACAGGAAAACCAACAATTCGCAGATTCGCCGGTAAGGTAGGACACGACACGGATCACGACTCAACCGCCGGAATTTTTCTGAGCCACCCGCCCGCCCTGGTCTGACTCCGATACCAGTGACCATCCACTCCCTGTGAGTGGGCTTTGTCTCTTGACGGGAAAATTTCCCTGTTCCGGCTAGGCAGGCGCTTCCGGCTCGGCAGGCGGCGAAGTCCCCTGGAAGCGCGCCAGACCCGGGGAAAACTCTCCCCCCGCCCTCCCGACCCTCACACGACCGGCTTGGGTGTTGGCAAGGAAGAGCCAACAGGCGGCCTAGGCACCAGAGACAGGTGCCGAAAGTGTAAGATATAGCGGCACAGAGACTGGCCGCACGCCAGCGCCCGCCCTCCCACCTATCAAGGAGGGAGCAAGGGAATGGATTGGAATTCACCCAGGTTTTTCATCCAGGTGAATGTGCAATTGATGCAGGGGGATGATTAAGTACATTGGATACCGGTAAACCCTTAAATTTCCCCACAAATCAAACACTAGTCATCCAGAAACAAACATAAATAAAACTTGTTAATTTAAAATTCAGAAGGATAAATGAGAACCCTAATTTACATTGAGAGTGAAAGATTTCAAGGGTATACCACTCACTACTTCACTGCTCTTTAGGGATCAATCTGGATTAAAAAATCCCTTTGGCTGATTTCAAAGTAACACACAAAGGGAAGTACAAAATCTTGTTCCAGTGAGATTGAACAGGATAAAAAGAATCACAGAAGTGTTTGAAAACCTCCAAGCCATTTTTGGAGGCAAAATAAAATTATGGTCTGGTTGTGTATGCAAGTGTGATGAGAGGAGTCTGGCCTGGATCAGTGAACCAATCCAAGAATTAAATGAAGCTTATTGGTGTTGAAAAAAAAATCTTCATGGCCTCATATGAGACAATGTCCAATGTGGAAAGGGCCCTTTGGTTTGCAATCAATGATTTCAATTCCTTTTTGCATCACGAGTATCTGCAGTTTACATACTATTTAGAATAATGAATGAAGATGACATTCCTTAATCTGTGAAAATCTCCATGCAGAATAATCATTTACATGGTTCCAAATCATTTGTCAAGTCCAACAAAAAAAGGATCAATGATCAGTGACTGAAGTCGTTTCTTTTAGGATGTATGATTTGAGAGCCTTAAAAATCTCCATCAAAAACTTAAAAAAAAGAGTGCAAGATCCGAAGCAAGAAAGACATTCATGCTACAATCATTCTTCCATGAACTGTATATATTGTCGAAATTGCTTCATTACGTCATCCCCTGGGGCTCTAGCTCATATGGTAGAGCGTTCCCTTCGCATCGTCGCGACTTGCAGAGGCAATTTGGGAGAGGCACAGGGTTCGATTCCCTGGTGCTCCACATCTTTTTGCTTCCTCTCCAACTTCACTGCCCTGCGGATGGAAAAGACGTGACGGCGGTTCCCTCTAGATTTCTGTTTTATAAACGGCTTTTGATTTACGAGATGATATCCTGAAATGATCGATGAGTCTCGTCGACTTTGTTGAATTAATTCCATTCGGGTTGTGAGCCCTGAGAGGCTAAAGAGATGTATGAAGTGTGATGGTTGTGTCTGCTTCTCTCGCCATCAAATCATCATCAACCGGCACTGAATGTTGATGAGAAATTCCTTAATTCGTCGGTATTGCAAACGTTGAATGCCGTCTCCATATGATTGCACCCATTGGCATGATCTTCTCCTTCAAAGATCCATCCAGAAAAAGGACCTTCCGCGACTCCGAGGAATGTTACCCAATATCCTATCTACTTCTATTTTATTTCAGTAAACAACTGGAAGCAATCGATTTTCTAGCAAGGGGTGGGTGATCAATCCCAGCACAAAAGGAAGGAAGGAAAGAAAAATCATTAATGCTCATTATACATCTCGAACAACAAAAGTAGTAAATCTAGAAGGTCAAGCGACCAGAATCCAAACCGAAAAAAGGAAGAGTCCGTCAAACTAATTGGCATCCATTTACAACTTTGATTTATTTGTTTATGAACATGATAATGAGATGAGAAAAACCCCGAAAAATCTATGAAGAGTAAAAAAAAAAAGTAGAAGCATGTAGGATGAAATTCAAACAAAACAAAAGGATCTAACCATACTTTATTTTTCAAGAATTGGACTAACGGATATGCAGAAAAAAAACAGAACGGTTTGCAGAGACGAAATAGGGTGAGCGAGTGAGGGAGGGAGGGGATGGAAAGAATGAAGAGAGATATTCCAAGTAAGCATAAGCGATATTGTATTCTTTTTCTTTGATGATCAAGACGGCGCGTGTGAGAGTGATGACTTGGTTTGACTGCAGCGGTTGTTGTTGTTCTTGTTTATTGTTTTTTTATCAGGACGATGTTCTCATTTACCGTCGCCAGGTAATTTCAAGTATTCGATCTTCGTCACTTCCTCGCTGATTCCATAGAACACTCTCCGGTTTAAGATCCATCCATCAACCGAAGAATGCGCCTTCAAACGTTTCGTTTTGTTTAGTCAAATCAAATCAGTTCTCATCATTATAGGGAGCAAGAGAAAACAGAAATCATAGAAGGAGAAATTCAAGACCGAGAACTGGGCTTACATCGCCATAGTAATAACCAGCTCTCATCAGCAGACACTGTTCCAGAATCGAAGTAGTGTCCATATATTTGCCCGAGAAGCCGAGCTCGACCCGATCGGATTCCTCGAGCAAATCAGTCAACAGGACGATATTCTTGCTCCTCAAATACTCCACTTCCTCCTTCTGCCTGATATTTGTTGCGATATAAATTCTGCGTACATGTAACACACAAAATTAAAGATTAGCTCGGCAAAAAGTGTAACAACATTCTGTAATTAAATGAAAAACACGCAAAAATGTCACGGACGGGTCGTCGACATGAGGCGGTTCTAAACTCGTCCCGAATTGCAGATGAGTAGGTCTGAGTAGATCCGGTCGACTTTGTAAGAGATTGGCACCGGCGAGAGTGTTCATTTTAATCTCTTTCCATTGGTTAGTAATATTCTACAGAAGGGTGCGCAAGAAGTGAGTCAGCTCATCGAGATGTTCAAAGTAGGGGAGAGCTGGACGATCAGGCGGGAGGGGGGGATTTCCTTTGAACTCACATTGGCAGCCCATTCGAACATCAAAAAATCTCCCCGTCTCATGTGGGCTCCAACCCAACTCCGCCCTCCACATCGCGCTCGCATCTTTTTCTCTAGTCTGGCTGCCACATGATGGTACCATTGTGGAGGTCTGATTACCGAGCGGACTAACCGTTCGAACTCTTGTCTGCCTTCTAAGCTCGTCCAAATCATCTGTCCTGGTGGAAATCCGTTGTGAAGTTCTCCCTTCACGTGGAAACACATTTTTTTTTTGTTTATCAGCAACCAATATTACTGTCTTCCTTTGTGAACGCTCTAGTCACACTTTTGTTTGACTCACCTCAATGTGCAGAATTTGCTCATCATACTTATGTAGTTCATCCCACCAACCGACCATGTTCTTGACCCTTTTGATGTTTTTGATTGGCTCATATGGAGCTTTCATCCACCAACCTAGCATACTAGAACACAGCAGATGGGACGGACGAGAGAAATCAATGAGTCTACTTTTTCATCTTTCTAGTGCGATTTGAGAGAGCCACATACCCATAGGCATAAGCAGACCGGAAACCATTAGAGGCAAAGCAGCTCTCCAGCAAAGGATTATCGGATTCAGCTAGTTTTCCAACCATGTAATTCCCCCGGATTTCCGATTCGTCCCAGTTGGGTAGTCTTTGGTCTTGGTCCGATCGCCGGGGTCCAGGTGGATAAATTTTATTCCGTTTCTGAGGAACGTTTGCCTCCAGTATCTTGAGGGTCGACTCGCATTGGGCGATAAGAGCTGATGAGCTTGGTCTTGATGGTTTCTTTCGATCTATGAGTGGTTTGATCGGTTTGGGCAGTCTATCAACCATGCTGATACTGAAGTTGGTGAACATACTGTGGCCCGATGATTTTGATTTCGAGTGTCGAGAGAGATGGTCAAGCAATGCTTCAAATTAATTCATGATGATTTTTCAACTCCTTCACTCTTCTATTGAGTAGAACTTACGCTTTGGGCATCTTTCTATAGCTGAGATTGCGATTGGAAGTTTGGTATTCCCAGGTTCCGTCGTACACGCCGATGGAATGAAATGAAGGATCTGGGTTGGTCAATTTGTGAAAATCCCCGAGTTTGATGGCATGCCCCCAGGTAGAGATGATATGATCTATATCTAGCATTTTCTAAGATCGAAATGTACAATCAGCCTGTCTGTTGATACAGCTTTCAGATTGAGAGGGGCTGACCTCGATCGGTAAAACCCATCCTTTTCCATACTGGAGGTACAAGTCTGGGCTGATGATGTTTGTACCAGGCTTCGGATCAGGATACCAGGTTCGATTTGAGAGTGCTGAGGGTCAAAAAAGAACAAGGGTCTTGGTTCCGATCAGAATGATATAAATTTGGAGGTGGGAGAAAAAGATATTCACAGGTCACGTCAACTGAGACGCCATTGACGAGTATCGGGGTGAGAGCGGTGCACTCGTTACTTTAGGGAAGAAGCTGGAATTAGTCAACAGCTTGTGCATATGGTTTTTTTTTTCTGAGAAGAGGTGAATGAAGCACATACTCATCATATTCACACGCGCGAGAATAGGCAAACGCGGGTAGGACGAGTGTTCTGTTGAGTAGTTTTGCTAGTAGCAAGCCTGTTTCGACGGTATATCTGAAGTTATTCCAGCCAAGATAGTTCGACCAATCTCTGACCAAGAATCTGTGACTGGGATCGATGGTTGTGTTGTAAGATGTGTCTGTTTGTTGAGTAGGGTGAAACTGGTTGATCTGGTTGAAGACGTTCCAGCTGGGTGAGTTGATCGATTTCGGATTAGATAGGATCCATGAGAGTGTGAATATGAATAGAATGAAGAGGCAGATGATGAGGATGTTTGAGTTTGGTCTGAGTGTTCTCGAGTAGGTCAAGTTCCTGAGTCGGTTGAAGGTGGCTGGTGGTGTGGTTAGTCGACTGTTCCTGATGCTGTAGCTCATCTCTCCTCCTGCTCCCTCTGCTGTTGACTTCGTTTCGTGTTCGTGTTCTCCCTATCTGTCTATCCTTTGACTTTCCTGGTTTTTTGAGAGTCAAGTGGTTGAGGTTGAGTGTTATGTAGACAGGACTCTGCTGGTCTCAAGCCAAGAATTTACCACGTGGTTGCTAGGGTTCACCATTTACCCCGCACTGCATGCATCCACATGCACAGCACGGCTTATGTAAATCTTCCGACCGACCTTCACCGTGGATCTTCATCTCACTGGGTTTTTATCGGAACACATCAATCCGCTGAAGCATCGGAGAATCTAATCAAGCAGGGTGATTGGGCTCCGAGCCTCCGATGTCTCCGCGGAATCCGATCCAAGTTGTAACTCTCCTGGGATCTATTATAATGCTAGAAACAAATTCACTCTGCTGTCGCTACTGACAATCGAACTCATCCTCGATGTCAAGAGAGCTACTGATAGCATAGCTTCTGGTAATTCGAACCGACAAAAACAACAGATGTCTTCGTCGAGAAGATCATCTAGCAAGCTTGTCCAGCTTGATCCGCACAGGCACGTCCTAACGGGGCCCAGGAATGGGCATCCGGCCGGGCATGTCAAGATTTTTATCTAGCTAAGCCGGCCTTGATGAAAAGCGGGTTAAAGCACCACCAGTATCAGATCAGGAGCACAAGTGGGACAAGAACAATTTGATTACGTGTCCCAAGCAGTCTAGACTCTGCATAGGCCGACCTTCTCCTTGAAGGGGTCTGTTAGGCCGATTCTTTTTTTTTTTTTTTGACGAGACCTGGCTCGGTATGCGTTGCGTGTTTGCTTGCATCGAGAAGAGACTCCGATCTCTGCCCTGCGAAGCCGTCGCCCCATGGGCTTTCGATCCTTGGCTGAAGAAGCTTGAAGACATGGGGCAGAATTGGTTTCCGATACATTGGAGCAGCCAGGAGAAAACTTGCTATTGCACTGACTGGCTTGGTACAATAGGTGATCCACGTTGGTTAAGTTTTGAAAAGAACTTTCAAATTCCCATTGGCAAGACTTGCAGGGTGGGCCACATGATATGATGATAGTAGATAACTACATCACATTTTTATACAAAAAATTGAACAATTATTAAGAACACTATGTACCTCACATCAGCATTAATATTCTACCAGAGAAGATCGATGGGCCATGTGATGAATGTTAATACAAGAACGGGTTGGGCGGATAGTTTGAGAGCAGATGCAGAGGAAGAACAAGATACAAATTCATCTGTCAACGAGAAAGCTTAGTCCCAACACCTTTGCATGGGGTAGGCTGCACAGTTGGATGGGGGTACCGCCAGATGTGCCAGCCAAGTTTGTCCGAGGGTCGGTCATGACTTGTCAATTTTCATCATGGTCTGCAAAACAATTGTTACACGCTGATAGAGTTGGGCCAAGACTTGTATTAGTTTGCTGGTGTATCTTGTCTCGTCGGGGAAGAGAGACTCACACTGTCTGTGACTGTTCTCAGGGATATATGGACATCCATATAATTTGTAGTTAACGTAGGCCTCTACAAAAGGGGGAGAGGTCGTAAGCAATGGTCCAAATGGGCTTAGACTTTGGTTAGCCCATCCCAAAATCACGCGAAGCATTTGCGTACCAATGAAATGGTCCCTGGTCGTATAATCATCTGGAACAATAGGGCGCAATTTTCCTGTTAAGCTCTTGCCATCTGGTCCAACATCCCGGCACAAGAATCGAAAATCTGGTGGTCATCCAACACAAGTTTGTGACAGGAGGAGAGATAACAGTGATTGTTAATTTGGAGATTTCTTGCGGGCTCAAGACTCACGGGGTCAAGTTATTGGTTAAGTTAAGCAAGAGATGTACATATGACTTACTCTGTTGGCAAGAATTTTTTACACATCTGTATATTATGCCGTCGGTGCCTCTGCATGCTGCAGACAAATTTGAATGTTTTATATAAAGAATCAGGAGATGTTACGATGAGGAAATATTACCTGATATGGAGGGTATAACTGGTGCTTACTTGCATCGGTATACGCTGCCAGGTTATTAAAATTTACATCGCAATTATGTTGAGGCTGTCCTCTTCGCACAACAGAGTGTTCCTGCAATTTTAAAAGCTGAACCGAGGGCAGAAGACTTGAACTGATGACTGCATAAGTGATGAAGGAGTTTTGGATCCAATCTTTGAGAAACATGGTTGGTTGCGACTTAGGGTGGTAGCTGATCTGCGTAAAGTTTTATGAGGGTGATCTAGAGCTTCCATGATGGGTTCAGCGTCCCCTATATAAGCTGTTCACCATACCGTTTGTGGCCAACAAACGTTGGAACACCGGGTTGTTGCTCTATAGTTTGTGAACCATTCCGCCGCCTACATCATAGGTATTTTTGTTCCGCCGTGAAATGGCTTGCAGGTTGCCGCATGTGGCCTCGGGCGTGTTGCTATCAAACAATTGTTTTTCCAGACCTGCATACAATAGATAGGACTACGCCCGCTACCCGAGCATCTTCATGGTATCAAGAGCCTCATCGCATGATGCCGTCCGACCCTAGTGACGTCGCGGCTCGTACTTGAGCTAGCTTGACTACATTCAGCCATCCAGCCGGTGTCAAGCCTACTAGAGACCCCGGCGTAAAGCCATGGTCTGTCTGTGACCCAACCGTTGCAATGGCGCCACTCCGATAGTGTGGTTGACCGTCCGAGGCAGCCCAAGATCCGAACTTGACAACAAGGCCGCCAGCAGGCTTGCGCAAGAGAAGAAGCCCTGTGCGTGAGGTAACAGAAGATATGTATCAGAGCAATCAATCAGCTTTGAATTTAACTGAGATTCCGCCCAGCGAGCATCCCGGCACGTCCTTGCAACCAGAAGTCTTCAGTCACATGTATGTAAGTTTAAGTTAGTGAGAGGCAGAAATACATACGCACAAGGGGTGTTCTTATTGAAAAAATCATAGATGGCAAGTGGGTTTACTTAGCTAGACTGTGCACATTTCGGCTGGCCCATCAATCTGCATGAGCATTGAACCTTTGTTCGCCGCTAATCATAGCTACCTGAGCAGGAAGATAATAAAGGAACTGCTCTCGAATCTATTGACGGAACGAGGATTGGGCAAGTTATGTTTTCTGAGCAGGCCACGTACCAAGACGAATGGTCGCTTCAAAGATTTTCAACTCAGACTCGTTGATCTACTCCTCATCAAGTCCACTCCTGTCACATTTCGAGACCACCCGGGCAAGATCGACTTCCTCCGACCCGTCAGTTCACGCATATTGGAGATACATAGTGGTATCAAAGACTGCCTGCGAGAGATAGTGAAGCTTTATGGGTGAATGGGAAACGTTTCACATGGTGCATCTCAGCTGAGGAAATACTGATGAACCAGTGCGCCATGCCAGCTTATGGGAACAAATAGCTTCCCGATTGCATTGAGAGCATCCAGACGGATTTTGCTGGAGAGCAATCCAGCATTATTGCAATTTCGGAAATCTCTGCAATTCGACTGACACGAGTAGATCTCTGCGATCTCTACCTCATCGGCACCTTGGCTGAAGAATCTTGAAGACGTGGCTGAGGGTTGTTTTTGAGGCATTGTAGCAGCCAGGAGAAGACTTTTTTTTGGATCTGACTGGCTTGGTACATAGGGTGATCTATGTCGATTTTGAAAACAATTGTCCAAAACAAGATGTAAAACAAGCGTAGCAAACAATCAGTGGAGGACTTCCCGTGGGATCTGGGACCCTCGCAGTTTCCGATTTAGACCCAAAAAGTCTAGATTTTTGCAGGGAAATCTAGCTTTTTCGGCTCTAAATCGAAACTGGGAGCCCCGCAGATGTTGACGGGAAGTCATCCAGTATAATCATGCGAAAAGAAATTTCTGACCTGACATGGTGATGAAAGCTGGGCAAGAGCATAGATTCTTACATTTAAGCAGTGGGTGTGCCCAGATTGCTCTCTGTGACCGGCGCAATTAACAATTTTCTTATCTGATAACTTTGATAACTTTGATCCCTCTTAACTTTGGTATCATCCCACCAGCCAAGGCAGTCTTCAAGGTGTATGGCGATGAAACTTCAAGCTACCCCAATTGCTCGATTCTCCTCGCATGGCTCAAGTAAGAGTAAGAAATTGTTGGTATATACGCTCAATTCAGGACTCAAAGCGTAGCTACCCGCTTGCATGAAGAGCATCCAGACGGATTTTGCTGGAGAGCAATCGATGATTGCTGCAACTCGACTGGCACAAGGAGCTCAAGCGGGCTAAGAACGGTCCGACCATTCTCGTCTGGCAGATGTGATCATGAGTTCCAGAACGAGATTCCATCCGGCCGTGTCAGCAGAATTGACAATCATGCCCGAGATTTCCACCCTGCTGGAGAGATTCGCATGAAGACTGGGATGTCTACATGCTCTGTTCCTTCAGGCTCATGGGCAGGAAGAATTCAGGTATGAAAGTTGGGAACCGGACCGTCTCTCAACAAGAGCTCGATGTTCCTACTAGGCTCTACCACACCTGCACTCACCTTTCCAAAAAAAAAAAAAAATCATCCAGTCGAGAGACAGAGGTTGTCGATTGTCGAGAGGAGATCTGAGATTATAAAGTAACGCACTCTTCGAGCCTTCCTTCCAAACTTCAGCCACGCCACACTCAAATCATCAAAAGAGAAATTAGAAACAGCTGGTCTTTTCTGCGAAAACTCATCTCCCCCAAACCGATCGTTCTCTCTCTTTCTCTCTTGATATCACTTCCTCTTGAATTATTAGCTATCGTCATCATCGTCGTCGTCGTCAACGTACCCATCAGCAGGCTGAACTCTTCTGTTAACAGTTATTTTTATATCATCCCTTTAGGCTCGTCTCATTCTCAGTTTGTAACTGGTTCATAACCAAGATTAAACACATTATCTTTCCGTCTTTCACCATGAAGCTCTCTTTACATTTGATGTTCATCGTGTGCTATGTTGTTGCTCTCAGCGCCAGCTTACCCTTCCTGCAGTAAGTATTACGCTCTTGGGGTTTCTTCTATCAACGAAGACAGCTCAATTTAACTGATCTGGAATGGCCTTTCTCTTTTGTCGCTGTTACAGCAAACGTGGAGGAATCAAGGTATCACTCAAATCATCCGGACGGCCATCTCAAGGCCATCAGAGATATACACTCAAGCCGAACGGCCCTCAACTAGCGAAGGACGGAAAGTTTCGAAGTCCCGCCGTTTCTAAGAACATGACCCCACGGTTCAAATCGATGCGACGAAGAGTCGCTGAAGCACACCTCGGTGTGATGGAAAAGCGAAGCCCACTAGGTAAACACAACAGCAACAAACAAACATGGCATTTTTCCAAACTTATTCACATTGGCTGAGCATTTGATTCGGTCTAGACTCCCCACTAGCCACCCTTTTCGGAACGGCTTCATCGACCGCTAGTTCGCTCCCGGTTGTCGGTGTTCCTCTGACGAGTCTTTTGTCAAGTCTGCCTACGAACTCGTTGGCCTCTCCTGGTGCGGTTACCGGCCTCCTCGGCACGTTGACGGGTGCGGCCCAGAGCGCCCCGGTGCTTGGCGACTTGCTCAAGATGCTGCCAATCAGCCCCCTGCTCAAGGGTAACCCACTCGACAACCTCAAGAACACTCTCTCTGGCCTCTTCATAGCTATCCCCGTCCTCGGTGGTCCTCTCAGCGGACTCTCTGGCGCCGCAACTGGTATCGCTGGCTCCCTCCCCATCTCGTTGTTCGACATGGGATCCGCGTCCCCTGCTGGTTCACAGTCAGTCCTCCCTCACTCACCCCGTCTTCCCTCTGTAGTTCATCTTCCTAACACTCCTTTATCATTTCTCGATTAGGCGGACCCTCAAGTCGGCCGAAACTAGCGACGAACAATCCGAATCATCACCCCTGACCAACCTCTTGGGTCGCTCTCTAAGCTCCAGGAAACTGATCGCCGCAAGAGAACATTAATTATAACATTCGGCTGGTTTAGCCCCCTAAATTTCAGTCATAAATGATCTCTACCTCGCTTTCTTTTTCTACTGTTATATCGAGTAGCTTCCTATCTTTAAACAATTGGTCTTGGGTTCTGTGCCCTGGGTTCGGCTCAATCTTATCAATCAGGTCCTTAGATGATGATATTGATTGTGATAATAATAATGAGAATCTGGCAAAATGAAACACAATCACATGCTTCTATACATCCGTGTGAGGGTCATTTTAAGATGGTCATCATCTCGAGAAGCTGGAAACATCAGGGACCTTTTGAGAGGAAATTTGGTGGATGATGAATTTGAATCGAATAATTGAGCCTTTTCATCATCGCACAAATATCAGTCATGCCACATCCTGATTTAGTTCCACTCCAACTTGAGCGTATTCTGGCAGAATTTGAATAGCTACTTCTTCTGACACTGTGTAGCTGTAAATATGAATTGAGAAGCTACTGGTGAGGTACTCAGAAAATTAGCTTTCATTAGCTCAAATAGTTTAGCCCCCGAGACAGCCCAAATTTTGTGTAGATGGATACCTTTAAAAAATTAGTATACATAGTCAAATGGGCCAATCAGGGTAAATTATCTTCAGATTGATTTGTTCTCGTAGTATTGTTGCAAGTTTATTATCTCTACACATATTTCCATTCAGTGGACTTGAATACTGAAACGAAGAAGTCTTTTTATGGAATAAAACAAAGCTTTATTTAAAATTAGAACCAAAAAAAAAATAATCAAACCCTGTGCATCATCATGCACATCTGGGGCTACATAGATAGACACATATGCTTGAGATTAAAGCTGGTGGTACATGCACTATTCAAAGTAGTTCTTTGTTTAATTTGACATGTGGCCTCCTTTTGCATTTTCCTGGTTCTAGACCCAGTCAGCACCGGGTATATTATGAGGATCGAAGGAAGCATATATTTTTTTGCACACCTGAAGAAAAGAAGAGAGCTGCAGGAGGGGTTAATCGGCGTTCTTGAATGATGATTCCCTCCTCAGATCACAAGTCCTGATCATCATTGCTCCTCTAAATTTAATATTTTCTCTAAAGGTCCCTATACATCAGACTTGCTTGTGATCGAGTTGATTGCAGTCGCATATAAATATCTTCAATTGCCCAGTGGGGGAGAGGAGATTGCAGGTTGGGGCAATTCACCCTGCACACAACTCCCGAGGTGTGTCCTCTTGAGCTCATCAGAGGTTGTAGTAATCTTCACCCCCTGCTTGAATGAATATTTATATGACTGGACGAGGCTCTCCAGAGATTTATGTAGTGAGTGGAACGGACTCTTGAAAGGCAATGATGTAGAACTCCGCAGTGTCTGTCCGCTTCTGAAACATCCAGCTCGGATTATGTAAGCCCTGCTCCTTCTTTTTAAACCCCTCCTCCTCCCTCGAAGCCCCCACCCAAAGGCTGGAGCAACCCTCTCTACCCCTCGCCCCTGCCCCCTCCCCCCTCCAGCTGTGCTCGATCGACCCAGGCCAGCCCCTTTTCTCTTGCCAGCCGTTGAGACTCCTTTTAAAGAAAAACAGCCCAGCCCCTCTGCACCAGCGACCTCGATTCCTGACTGTGCGCTTTCTGCATATAACATATACTTAAGTATCTTTACCCTTTTTCCTTGGAGTGCTTGAAGCTTGAAGCAAGCGGAAGGCAAATAGTGCAAGACATCATTAATAACTGCGAAAGGCCTCGAGCTCGCACAACGTTCAGTCGTTGGAATCCGAACCCAGAAAAAGACAGGCCACCCAGCAACACCCCCCTCCCCTGCTCGAGCAGAGCCCCTCCTCGGTCTCGAGTTTCAGCTGCACTCTCTTAATCTTAACACCCCCTCCCTCCCTCTCCGGTCTGGTCCAGAGTGCCAGGCCCCCTGGCTGTCCTCAACGGTATCCGGCCACCCCCAGTCGAGGCCCCTTCCGAGGGAGGTCTACACCCAAGCATGTCCATCTCTGTCCCACCACCCATCTCACCAAGCGCACCGGGCTCCACTTCGGCACCCATCACCACCACCACCGCCGCCGCCGAATTCACGCCGATTGCCACGACGAGCGCCTCCCTGGCCATCGACCCCGAGTTCACTCACAAGTTCTGCTCGGCTTGTCGCAAGAATGTCGAGATCGCCAACTTCTCAACCAATCGCAAGATCTGTAACCGGCACTCGTCCCAGCCGATCGGAGCCGCCTCGGTCGCCTCGCCCGAATCGGCACTCTACCAGATGAGGGCGATGAAGTTCTGTCAGGGCGTCCCCCACAGAACCGAGCAGAAGAAGGTCTTGGACATCTACGTCGACTACGACGCCCTCCTCGATTGGTTGGATCAACGCAAAGATATCGACCCTAGAGTCGACCGCGTCAGAAGGATCCCAAAGGAGAATGATGACGAGCTGATCAATGATCCTAACGGCCAGATCACCTTGGCTAGGAGACATGCTACTCGCGAAGCTCGTCGTGTTCGTGATTTCATCTTCATTGGCACTGGCCTATTATTCATGTATGTATACTTTCTTCTTGCTACATTCTTTATGGGACATCCAAATCCAGTGCCAAGAGTAAAAAATCAAAAAAAAGCAGACAGATTACTAATCATTATCCATCTCACATCTTCATCCCAGACATAAAACCGTGGCCGTTGGGCAGAAGTTACAATGGACCTGTCAATCCAGATGCTCTCAATCGGATCGTCTGAAGGGTGGACGGGACGGATCGAGGCGACACAGCGACTCGAAACGCCCGAGCACATCCCGGACTCGATATCCATGCCAAGGTACGACGACGGTCAGCCTCCTCCACCAGCAACCCGGCCAACGTCGACTCTTACATCTCGTCATCAAACACGGCTATGTACATGGTCCACACGATGACCGCAATCGAGAACCGACGCTCAACGAGTTCATGCCCGAGACCGACTTCCAGGTGATCGATCCTGCGCTCCGGAACTGTCCGGTCAACGAGCCTGTCAAGCCCGTCGGTTCTTCCTCCACCAAGGACGATCGGCTACTCAAATCTTCATCTTCTCACGACATCTTCGTCGATCATCAACTCCTCGACCATCAGCTTCAGGAAGATCAACACGAGGCAGTCCTCAAGGAACTTAATCACCTGTTGGCAGAAGATGAGAGTCGGAACAAACTCATCAAGAAACTCATGCTCGACCAACAGCTCCAGCTCCAGCTCCAAGCCTCTACTGATCTCTCTCTCGACAATCATCACCATCATCATCATCATCATCATCATCATCTCATCAGTAGTAAACTCCCGATCCTGCGGGATTTTTTCCATAAACGTGCGCAGTTGATGGTCGATTTAGATTCAATCATCCAATCGGACGCTCATAAGACTCATGTGGATCATCTGGATCATAACATAGACGTTTCTATGGTCATGGATTCTTATCCTAGTCAATAAACCTCCATCTCCCTTGTTCCATTTTTTTTTTTGCCTGTTTCCATCTGGAATCAATAAAAGAATCCCTTTTAACCTTTCTCTTTCTTTCGCGATTGTCAATGATACTATCTCCTCCTTTCTTTCTCTCCTCCAAAGCGAAAACTATACTATCAAGTATAATCAACTGATTCTCCTTTTCCATACTCACATTTATATATACATATATATATATATATATATATATATATATCGATAGACAACTTACATCCAACATGCAGTGAGAAGTAGAGTAGGTTTGCTTGCTTGTTTGAAGTCTGGATTGAGACTCAATGTGGGTAGTCAATGATTGTCCTTGTGTACTGAACTATATTAAGACTGTGGTTACACTCCTCTTTTTTCTCAGGACTGGGAAGCTGTTTCTGTTCTTGCTTCCAGAAATATATACAACATGGGTTTGAGAGATGTTTCTGTCTGGACACTATAAACTGAGACTGAATTTCTTAACGGAGCCTCGTGAACTGCTTAATTATATGCATATATTTCTCAAGTGAAAGGCCGTAGAGTCCTTTTTGCAACATAAGCTTACCAAGTGTCAGGACTTTCCCCCCCCCCCCCGTCCCCACGGGTATTTGCATTAAAGAAAAGAGGGATGGCGTGATCAATTGAGCGTGTATAACACTATCATTGTGCTGATTTGATTGTTCCCTCGATTGTGGATGAGTGAGATTGACAGAGTAAAAGGTAGTAAAAGTATAGCAAAAGCTTTCGACTAAGTAGAGACCAACTCGATGATCTCCTTTGCGATATTTTCATCCTCAAGATCAGGGATGGGTTGTTGATGGGCGATCAACTTGAGAACATGATAAGCGACGGCCAGGAACATGGAATCGAAGGCCAAGAGCTTAGCTTGTTTAGTTTTTCCGGCCAAGAGGTCGGCGACGAAGTGTGGCTCGAAGACCAAGGGTCGTCCGAGACCGACGAGATCGCAGGTCCTCTGCTTGGAGGACACCGCCGAGGCCATCCCTTCCAGCGTCCGGAAACCGCCCGTCACCGCAAGCACCGAGGCTCCCGTTAAGTGGGGACGTATCCCGTCGGCAAATTCGAGGAAAAATCTGCAGGAAACAGGCGCTCATTCTCATTCAGGTCTGCCATAAAACCATTAAAACAAACTCGCCGGTGCGTCCTCAACTGACCCTTCTCGTCTCAGTGTGCTTGCTTTCTTCTCTTCGAACGGCATCAATTCGTAGGTCCCTCCAGATAACTCAAGCAGCTCGACCCCCATCGCTTCCAACCGTACGGCCATCATCTGACTGTCCTCCTTCGTGAATCCGCCATCAATGAAACTGTTTTTTTTATAGCTCTCAAAGCTTGTTAGTCTCAAGTTCTGCAAGTCAAAACAGCTCCCAATCAGAAGAAAAAAAAGAAAGAAAAAAACTCGGGATTCGGACGCACTCTTGGGAGTTGTATTTGATCGATAAAATGAACTTCCGGTCAGCCACTCTTTTCTTGATCGCCTCAATAATCTCGAAGACTATTCGACTACGATTCTCGAACGAGCCACCTTAAATAAAACATTCACAATTATATTATCAACTCGGGTTTTTTTTTTTAGTTTTTCACAACCATCCACGCATGATTAATTTTTTAATTTTTGAAAGACTTGCCGTATTGATCGGTCCGTTTATTGACTCGAGGAGACAAAAATTGGGCTATAAAAGGAATGTTTAAATGGACATTGCTTGATGTGTCAGGAAGAAGAAGAAGAAGAAGCAAAAAAAGAATAGTGCTTTCGAATTGGGAGAGCTTGGATCTGCAGAGACACCCACAAAGCAGATATCCATGTGCTCCATGTAACTGGACCCCATCCGCCCCGGCGTTGTAGAGCACCTCAGCCCCATAGGCGAACCTCTCAACAACATCCTATTTTTTTTGGATACAAAACCGTAACCGAATCAGGTCGATGCCGAAGACCATATAGATTGTTGTTTTTTTGTATATACTGTGATGATTGGGATTGTTGGTCGAGAGAGACGCACATGGACTTCATCCAGACTCAACGCTCTGGCTTTTCCGAAACTCATCCCGAAGCAGGGAGGGCTTTGGCTCTCTGAAGCGGACACTGGATCTATCATAAAAAAAAGAAACCCCAAACAAGATGAGAAACAATCAAAAGCACCATGTGTCACAGCACCGTCTTGGGTGACTTTTTATAGAGCCACGTGTTTCTGCGGCTTGGATGGAGGGTACAACACGGTTCAAGAAGACTGACTTGGATTCACATCCAGTGGGGTCTGTCTGCCGGCGTGAGTCAATTGTCCGATGACCAAAGAACCGTGCGTCTTGGCTGTGGCGATGGCCGGCTTGAATGCTTCCACCGGGTCCCCTTATCGTTTCAAGAAAAATCATCAACTTGAGATATTCAGAAGATGATTGTTGAGGGCCATGGGATGGAGCTTACATGGAGAATCCTTGTCGATGATCGCATTGCCCATGGCTTCAAGATATTCCCGATGGATGGGTATGTTACCCTACAAGACACATGTCCATTTGAGTTCGGACAAAATGGGATGTCAGTCATCCATAGGATGGGGAGAAGCTGAACATTGGAGTAGGTATCTGACCAAGACTATGATTCCGATCTTTCCTTGACTCCAGACCTTGTAAAGCTCTTCATACTCCTGCGTCGGTTTTCCTCGAGCGTCCAAGTCGAGTTGGTCATAAGAACAGAGCCGCTCCGTCAACGCGCTCTTCATCGTCCGACTGGCAAGTCATTCACATCACGTCCCGTCAGCTCGAAGGAACACCAGCCACTCTTACAAACCGTCGGCCTCAGCCTCTCTCGGCATGAGGTCTTGCGAGTACAACACACAGACTCGAAAACCTACTTTGGAGCCGTGAGACCTCCCTGGAATCGGAGCGGCTGCGAGAGGATTCCAATGGGATCCATGAGTGGCATCTTCCAACAAAGATCACCCGAATTGCTGACAAGCCCGTCGACAGAAACAAACCGGGGTCCAAGAACTGGAAGTTTTTTAAAATAAAGAACGCTTCTCTGGAGTCTGGGCACAGGTCAACAAGAGCTTTTGATGGTCTCCAGAATGGATGATACAATGTAGACGAGGACAAGCAAGTGCAGACTGCAAATGAAGTCTTGTGTCGTCAGTTGCAGGGAAGATTCGCGATTCTCTCCATAGTCTGGACTCCTGAAGAATGAGGAATCCTACAAACCTCATGGGCCTTGAATGCCAGCCCATATCATCGGCCGTTCACAGCCATTGAAGGTCTGATTCTGATGCAATGGAGTTTGCCTGCTCCTCCTACATATGTATGTATCGAAGACGACACTGTCGATCCGACCGTCCACAACAGTGCCATTTGAACACCTCACCAAGAACAATATCCTGTTGAAGATGTACATATTGGGTTTCATTCAAACAGGCTGTATTGTACTTCTCCGAAGAAAATTCGATCATATGTAAGGCTCACAAGAGGTAGAGTCCGAGGAGGGTCTTATACCTCCTCTGGGAGCTGAGTTCCTCCCCCCGTTTTTTCCCTTAGCATCCTTTTTCCGCTAGTCTTCCGTTCTGCCTTTTTTTCGCCCCTCCCACCCCCCCTACAGAAGAGGGGAAGGGGGAGGGGGGACCCACACAGGGAGGGTAGGTCAGGGTCTGGCACCGCCCCCCCCCCCCCCCCTGCATTGCAACGGTTGAGTCACAGACAGACCATGGCTTTGCGCCGGGGTCTCTACATAGTAGGCTTGACACCGGATGGATAGCCGAATGTAGTCAAGCTAGCTTAAGTACGAGCCGCGACGTCACTAGGGTCAGGCGGCATCATGCGATGAGGCTCTAGATACCATGAAGATGCTTGGGTAGCGGGCGGAGTCCTATCTATTGTATTCAGCATGAATACGTAGGCGATGTCTGGAAAAACAATTGTTTGATAGCAACACGCCCGAGGTCACCGCCGCATCCGGCAAGCCATTTCACGGCGGAGCAACAATACCTATGATGAAAGTGGCGGAATGGCTCGCACAGTCTGGAGCAACAGCCCGGTGTTCCAGCGATTGTTGGCCACAAACAGTATGGTGAACAGCTTATATTGGGGACGCTGAACCATCATAAAAGCTCTGGATTACTCTCATCAAACTTCACGCAGATCAGCTACCACCACCCTAAGTCGCAACCAACCATGTTTCTCAAAGATTGGATCCAAAACTCCTTCATCGCTTATGCAGTCATCAGTATAAGTCTTCTGCCCTCGGTTCAGCTTTTAAGATTGCAGGAACACTCTGTTGTGCGAAGAGATCAACCTCGACATAATTGCGATGTAAATTTTAATAACCTGGCAATGTTTACCGATGCAAGTAAGCACCAGTTATACCCTCCACATCAGCTAATATTTCCTCATCCTAACATCTCCTGATTCTTTCTATAAAACATTCAATTTTGTCTGCAGCATGCATGGGCACCAACCGCAAAGTATACAAATGTGTACACAAATCTTGCCAACAGAGTGAGTCACTTGTACATGTCTTGCTTAACTTAACCAATCACTTGACCCCGTGAGTCTTGAGCCCGCAAGAAATCTCTAAATTAACAATCACTGTTATCTCTCCTCCTGTCACAAACTTGTGTTGGATGACCATCAGATTTTCAATTCTTGTGCCGGGATGTTGGACCAGATGGCAAGAGCTTAACAGGAAATTTGCGCCCTATTGTTCCGGATGATTATACGACCAAGGACCATTTCATTGGTACGCAAATGTTTCGCGTGGTTTTTGGGATGGGCTAACCAAAGTCTAAAAGAGCCCATTTGGAGCATTGCTTACGACCTCTCCCGCTTTTGTAGAGGCCTACGTTAACTACAGATTATATGGATGTCCATATATCCCTGAGAACAGTCACAGACAGTGTGAGTCTCTCTCTTCCCAACCAGACAAGATACACCAGCAAACTAATACAAGTCTTGCCCCAACTCTATCAGCGTGTAACAATTGTTTCGTAGACCATGATGGTGATTGAAAAGTCATGACCCACCCTCGGACAAACTTGGCTGGCACATCTGGCGGTACCCCCAGCAAACTGTGCAGCCTGCCCCATGCAAAGGTGTTGGGCCTAATCTTTCCCGTTGATAGATGACTTTGTATCTTGTTCTTCCTCTGCATCTGCTTTCAAACTATCCGCCCAACCCCTTCTTGTATTAACATTCATCACATGGCCCATCGATCTTCTCTGGTAGAATATCAATGCTGATGTGAGGTACATAGTGTTCTTAAGAATTGTTCATTTTTTTTTGTATAAAAAATTTAATGTGTAGTTAGTATCAACAATATATCATGTGGCCCACCATGCAAGTCTTGCCACTGGGAATTTTTTAAAGCTGTTTCCAAAACCAACGTGGATCACCCACCTTTTGTACCAAGCCAGTCAGTGCAATAACAAAGTTTTCTCCCTGGCTGCTCCAAATGTCTCGAAAACAATTCTGCCCCCATGCAGTCTTCAAGCTTTTTCAGCCAACGATCGATGGCCCATGGGGCGACGGCTTCGCAGGGGAGAGATCGGAGTCTCTTCTCGATGCGAGCAGACACGCAACGCATACCGAGTCAGGTGATCTCGTCAAAAAAAAAAAAAAAAAAAAAAAGAAAAAAAAAAAAAAAGAAAAAAAAAAAAAAAAGAAAAAAAAAAAAAGAATCGGCCTACATAACAGACACCTTCAAGGAGAAGGTTGGCCTATGCAGAGTCTAGACTGCTCGGGGAACGTAATCAAATGGTTCTTGTCCCCCTCGTACTCCTGATCCGATACTGGCGGTGCTCTAACCCACTTTTCATCAAGGCCGGCTTAGCGAGATAAAAATCTTGACATGCCCAGCCGGATGTCCATTCCTGGGCCCCGATTGGACGAGTACAGGGTCGGTCGCCCTGCCGCCAGCCCTGGACGTTGAGTAGTACCTCATGATCATGTCACGTAGGATCTAGTCGGCTAGCCTATGTCTGATCTCCTCCGGGCTACAGGCTGTTGCGCGGAGGGGGAGGAGTACGATTTGAGTCTGACCCCATCTTGATCGTAGTCACCTTGAGAGGGGTTTTTATTGATAGACTTTCATGTAAGGATACAGTCCAAGACGAAGCTTCAAATTGGCTTGCATTTTTTTTTCCTATCATTGCTAATAAAATAACTTTCCTTATTTTCTGGGATGGATGGATGGATCGATGATGTATGTATAAACATGAAACTAAAACAAAAAGACCTTCTCAACCTTGTTCAATTTTTTTTTTTTTTTTTTTTGCTCTTGGAAAAGATCTGAGAACAATCAGAAGACATTGTACTTTTTGTCACCTTATATCAAGTAACCAAAAAAAAAAAAAGGGGGGGGAGAAGGGGAGGAAAAAGAAACTAAGATGAACAGACAACATTGTTGTACAACAACAAAACTGCACTTTATTTTTTGGGATAGGATAGGATATATATGTATATACATTTTGGATTGTGTTCCTTTTTTTACTCCTTTGATCTCCTTGTGGTGATTTTGAATTTGGAGATTCTTGTGTGGGAGAGAAGCGGAAGATGGCATGTCAACAAAACAAAAAGAAAGGAGAAGAGTGAAAAGAAGGATATATGGGCAACTGTGATTTGATGTGAGGAAAGGGAGAAAGAAAGGATCAATGGGCCCAGCTTTTCTGAGGCACGTAGTTCCAGACATCTTTGGATAAGCTCATAGCGATGTTCCAAGACGCCAGAGTTTGAGTTTCCATGGTACTGATCAAGTTTTCGAACCCATTGACATCTACACAAGACAATGACAAGAATGGTCAACACTCTTCTGAACTCCATGTTTGGAAAGCCCCCCCCCTCCCTCCCCAAAAAAAGAGAGAGAAACTTACAGTATAATTTGTCGCCAAGCTTGGTGGGAGGATATTTTGAGGGAGGGACGAGCGGCGCCAGGATCGGATACGCATCCCATTTGATCCGCTTGATCCATAGCAAATTCTGCACCGATCCGAAGAGTTTGGCGAGTGTATTTGTGGGGAGTGGAGCCTCAGAAAAGACTGGGGGATTTGAGAAATCGATCAGAAACCCGCAAATGGAGAGATAGAGAGAAGAAATCAATATAGAGAGAGAGAGAGAGTAGACTTACTTTTGACGATGTACATGTCCCCAATTACTCCCTCCTTAGGCCCGAGATTTTTCAAGTAATTAAGACTATTGAAGAGCGGTCTTTTGCCCTTACCGATGACGTTCCGCATCATGGTAGAGTAGATGGATCTAGCCATGAACTGATCGGGGGGTCTATCGAAGAGTTCGCCGGAGGGCGCGGTCGCATTGGTGACGACGAAGGAGACGTGGAGATGGACGAAGGGTTGGTGGGGCACTTGGACTGGGGCCTCAGAGGTCAGGACGGTCACCGCGGCTTGGTCGTAGGGTGCGGCGAGGATGACGGCATCGAATGGCTCCGAATCGCCCGTCGTCCTCCGCGAGCTGAGCTGTTGATGTGGGTGATGATGGTAGGCAAGACGTATTGCGATCTTCCCTGGTCACTGACTTCTAACTCGCTGATCGCGGTGATTTGGTGATTGAAATTGAGCTTGGCGCGACTCTGTTTGGCGAACTGTTGGAAGATCTGCCGGTTGCCGCCTTGGACGCTTCTCCCGTCGCTCCCGGCCATGCTGACCATCGCCCCCAATCCGTGGATCACACAGATATCTTGTCCGTAGTTCGTCCGAGCCATGATCGCGACGAGCTCATTGACGGCTTGGACATTGATGCCTTCCTCGTTGATCAAGTAATCACTCCCGGTGGTCGAGAGTAGATGGTCGAATCCAGTGGCGAGGGCCCATTGCTGGAGTTCTTCAAACGGACCTAGAGCGACAAAGTCCTTGGAGTAGATTGCTTGGAATTGATCGAGGTTCCGTTTGGAGAGTGCATTGAGCTGCAAGGGAGCCCGTCCATAGCGCCAGAATAATTTGATGGTGTCCCACCAGGAAGAGCGACTGCTTTCGAATGCGAACTCGGTGCCATCCCAGATCGCGTAGTTCTCGCTGGATCCGTCGGTGTGGAAGGTTTCGAGGCTCAGGTTGAATTGTCGGACGGCTTGGTGGAGGTGTTTGTTGGCGGAGACGAAGATGCTGGCGCCGGCTTCGACGGAGGGGTAGTCTGAGGAGTCAAACGGATAGATGATGTTGCTCCGTCCACCAAGATAATCTGATCGTTCAAAGATCTCAATTTCCACCGGGTTTCCAGACGCGTTGGCAAACTGAGATAGGAAGAATCCAGCCGACGTTCCAGCTGGTCCACCCCCGATGATCGCCACCTTGAGAGGCTTGTTTTTGAGGTGGGAGTCGGATCGGAAGTGGGTTGTTGAGGGTGGTAGGAATGGCAGCTGTTGAGGATATGTGGTGGTGGTGGTGGTGGTGAGTGTAGCTCTCAGAAGACTGTAGCCGACCAGGAACAGGGGCTTAACCCCGGGGAGATGCATGTCTGGAGCTATGTATGCAGTGGTGCTACTCTAGAGATGGATGATCGAATCGACTAGGTCTCTTGAAAACGATGGGGATCCTTGGAAAGGAGTCGGATCGGCGAGTGTAAAATAAAATTGGAAAATATTATGGAGGGTGGGTGGATGAAAGTGTGAGTGTGGGAGGTTGAGGGCAAGTCTCAGGCTTATTCAGCATAGTCAACAACTCAGTCTCTGCAGAGAGCAGCAAGGGCAAAGAACTCATCAGCCCCATCACTTCTCATATGTCTCAACAGTTAGTCATCAGCAAGCTTCATCGCTTTCCACATAATTAACTATTGTGTTTTGAACAAAGCTTGGACAAACCGAAGTTTTCCAAGAACTAAAGTTATGTTGTTATGCTGCTGTGCAGCAGTTTCAGCTGCTGGTTTTTGCCACACAGCTCTGGTTTGATTCACCTCGCTGTGATCAAGCAGATACCAACATCGACGACCCACCAATACCGACCCCCCCCCCCCCCCACAATACTGGCATCTATCCCAACCAAAACATCACTAGACAATTTTTGAATTGTACGATGCATCCACCAAGGCTCGCGCAATCCAAATGGCGATTGAAGGACTCCGTGGTTTTCCGACATCCAAAAGTTGATCTCTTTATTTCTCTGTAGTCATTTTGTCATACGAAGAGAGCTGATATCTTCTCATGGAACAATCAAACTCAGCTTTGTAGCATCTCAACAACACGTGCAGGCCTTGCAAGTATTACATCAGACCGGCAGCCCAGAATTGGCAATTGGACAAACGATCACTCATGTTATGATGGTTGATCTTTGCTAAAAGGCTTACAGGCACTGTGAGTCCTGTTCCCCATCAAACTAAAAAATTTTCATGACTTTTTCATCTTTGTTTTTGTACCACCGGTGTCTTCTTATTGACATCCAAATCACATCTTGTTTTTTCAGCACTTGGTCATTTCTCTGGATTGTTATGTGTTATCTCCTCATCGATCTTTTACAAACACATCAAATAACCATGGGTCAACTGATTGGTGTTGGTTTTGTACCCAAATTTGTCGTTTATCTGCAGCTCCTTCATGATTTGAATGTTATTACTTCTCTTATCCTTGAATGAACAAACAATCATAATGAGAAATTAGTCCATAAATTATTCTCTAAACAATCTTGTGATGAACAAGAATTTGAATCGGATCCAAATTGACCACCGGATTGACTTTTTGTCACTCTTTGGAGTGAGGCTCTAGTTCAATATTTTAACGATCTGGATGAGATTGACACCAATTTGATGAACTTACATGGACCTTTAATCCAAGAGCTTACTGACCAGTCTCCAACTTGGAGCTGCAGATATGTATCAATTCTGGATTGAGGGTTCCTCTACCGACTGATTCTGACTTGAGATCAGTCTCTCTTGACCTGGGTTGCATCTCACTGATGAAAAATCCAAGGTTTCTGCACACTAAACATAAGAACAATCTCCTCAACTTCTCAAGTTCCCCCACCAATCACCACCCTGATCAATACAAAAAAGGGAGGAAAATCACAATGTTCTTTTGATCTAGTTAACCTGAGCTATTTTTAGGTTAGTAGTCATATTTCTTTTGCTATGATTGACTATTCAACTGTGACAGTCTTGGCCAAGATTTGGGCCGATAACATATCAAGTGTATAGGGGGGGGGGAGTTCAAAGGAGATAAAAGCCAATTCAAGTTAGACGATGCCAAAGACTTAGTTTTCTATAGAACATGAAGAAAAAAGAAGCTTACGGAAGTCGATGTCAACACCTCTCAAGCTAGAAAGCAATGATAGAAAGGGATAGAGACGAAGACCTAAGGTCCAAGACAATGGGCTGATGAGAGAGAGAGAGAGAGCATACATAGTGATGTGGTAGCTAAGCAACTGCATAGGAATGATAGTCAAGAGACCTTGCAAGCAATCGACCGTTTGAGGGACCCTCAAGATCCGAGTGGAGTCGGCGGCGGTCAAGACTCAAGCCGGTATCACCTTCGTTAGCGATCACAATCAGCGAACCTTTAGGGGCAGTGACTTGTTGGAGGGCCAATTGGACCTTAGGATATAGAGAATCCTGGCATGATTTCTTTTTGCAAACAGGGGGGAAAAATCAGTATCTAGCAATCTTCCCGCCTACATGTTGAGAGGACCAGGCAAAATCATCAGAAACCCCATCGGCCCCAAGCAGTTTGAGGGCCAAATTTACTAATACTGACTGAGATTTTTTATCCAAACCAATCGTTGAGCCGCCAATGCGATTGGTTGATCGTTTTTGGTGGTTTGGGGGAATGGTTTGAACGCAGCTGGCCACCTGGATTGGGAATCAAGAGCGATGGAGGCTGGCCGCCGCTGTGGCAGTCCATGACGAGATCATGGGTTTTAGAGAGAAAAAATAAAATAAAAATCCAAACTTAAACGGTGAAAATCCAGGATTTTCGAGTGCAGATCCTGCAAATCCGTCCAAGCATTCTTCAAAACACAATACATCGAATGTCCGCACAGAATCGTCCTCATCACCAAAAGTTGGATCTGCTTTTACACAAACATCGTGGGCACTGCGCATTAATCTCTTTCAGTTTGGTTGATCATTCAAACGGTTTTCAAACACCATAAACAGTTATACTAACAAATTTTAATAATTTTGATAATAAATTTCAACATGTGATTAAGAAATACCACTTATCCTTGAGCACAATTCTGCAACACATCTTAAAATATAATGACTATCCAGTGAAATTGTTCAGCCTTGACACACTGGGTACACTCAGCTCCCACAGGCGCTCTGTGAAGTCCATCAAGGGGTATTCAAAGCTGAAGCACATTTTTTTTTAAAAACCAAACTGAGTTTTTTGATGTATGAACTCTCAACCTATGATTCAATTTACCGCGTGTATTGTTTGAGCTGACGGCCATCAGTATTCATGAAACAAAAGTGGATGAGCATCTTCACTATCACTGTAAGAAATGTCGAGAGAGCAGAGAAGGAAGGACTTCAGGAGGGGGCTAATTCACATTGCATAGATATATTACAATCAGGATTCTACTATGTACACATAAATTTCAATGTTTCTTTACCAATTTCTTCATTCATCATCTTCTTCTTCTGGTTGTTCAACTTGATTTGCGCTACACAGACGATTCGAAGGGCAGGAAAACATCGACACATGTGCCAAGAGGGATCAGTCAAGATAAAAGTCTTCAGGTCGGATCAGACCGGAAGAACATGGCTTACCAGTAAGTGACAGTAGGAACTAGCTTGTATACCGAAGTGCTCAGACCATGGATTGGCACCTGCAAGTGAGATAATAGAATGTTGTGTTCGATCAGCGGGGCGAACTTGGTTGTGGTGAGAGATAGCAGAGCTTCACCTGATCAGCAGTCGCGGAGATCACATAAGGGTTGCTTTGGTTCCATCCTGCAGGCACTTCGGCCGACTTATCCACATAACTAAGGATCGTAAACAGGCCTACAAACGGAGGAGGTTTTTTTTTGAGAGTCTCGAGTTAATGAAGCGTATGCATTCAAAAAAAAAAAAGAGTTGCGGATATAATCACATCGATCGGGTTCCAGTGCAGGCATGAACGTAACCGACGAGAAGATTTGCCGGAAGATCTGTAAGGCTTCTGCTTGCATATCATGGTCCGAGCGTGGCACCGGCTCAAACGGCGTCTGATCGGCCGCGGTCGGCTCGGCTTGCGGGACGGCCTCTTGCCCGGCCGGTTGTTCGGCGGTCGTGCGGATGTCGAACTGCCACCGCTCCACCGTTTCACGCGTCTCTTTGCATACCAGCGCTAGCACGATTCGCGTCACGCTTTTCGTCTCCAGCCATGCTACAAAAAAAAAAAACATGCACAACAAAATCGAATAGATTGGTTCGAGTGAGGATAATGAGGCGTGTGTATGTCGGTGAAGAAGTATTGGAGAGTCAGACTGACGTTTCAACTGGGTCGTCACTTTAGTCAGATAGCTCTTCAAGTCCGGGTCGATCAACAAGGGCAGATGGATATCGTAGCGCTTTTCCCACTTGAAGTCCTGCTTGGGATACACTTCTCTCAATCCGAGGATGGCGTTGAAGGCATAGTATAAGAATTCGCAGAGGATGGTGGTCGATTGGAAGATGTCCCCCTTGAGCTTGACGACCCGGTCTCGTGCGTTCGCGGCATGTTGTTTTCTTCGGTTCGCTCGGATCGGCTTGGCCAGGGGCATCGGGATGTGTGGACTTGTCGACTTGCTGATTCCTTGGACTTGACTCAACTTGAGGAGATATGTACAGAGCTTTAGTTCAGGTTGAGCCCAGCCCAGCAAACCCTAAAAAGCAGAAGAAAGCTGGAATTGCTCCTATGCATGTAAGCTGCTCCTCTGGCTGTATGCATACCAGTGAGATCCCAAGTGCCAAGTGCCAAGCCGACAGGCCGGGTGAAGCCGCTCCATCTCATCAGCCGAATACATATCCAAGATGGCTCAACCGCCACCTCTCAATCTCGTGGTCCTTATCTCAGGAACAGGTCAGTCAATAAGCTATAGCTCACCACTTCACGGAGGCTTGGGCAGGATCGTCATAGTCTCTAACATTGGTTCACGGGATGATACTAGGAAGCAATCTGCAAGCACTAATCGATGGCGTTCCTTCGTTCCAAAACCCGGCCGCTCGGATCAGTCTGGTGGTCTCGAACTCGAAGCATGCCTACGGAATCCGGCGCGCAGAAGCAGCGACCCCTCCGATCCCGACGCAGGTTTACAGTCTAGCCTCGTTCCGGAAGCTGAACCCTCAACTACAGGAGGAGGCTGAACTGCGTGCGCAATACGATCGTCAGTTGGCTGCTATCATCAAGACCGGGAGGCCCCATCTCGTCGTCCTCGCTGGATTCATGCACATCCTCAGCGAGCCCTTCCTCAAGGAAATGCATTCGGATTGGGACGCTGGTCGGGTGGCCCCGATTCCGGTCATTAACTTACACCCCGCCCTGCCTGGACAATTCGATGGTGCAAATGCAATCTTGAGAGCTTGGGAGGCAGGCCCAGCAGGAAGACAAGAAATCACAGAAACTGGGGTGATGATTCACGAGGTAAGTCGTGTCCTCCCTCTTGTGTTGTCACTTCTTTGGTTTTTTTTTGCTCATTAGAACTTCACCTCGATCTCGCTTGGCTAGGTTATCGCTGAAGTCGATAGGGGTGCGCCGATCCTAACGCGGACGGTTGAGTTGAAGAAGGATGAATCTCTTGAAGCCCTTTCGCAACGGATGCATGAGGTGGAACACGAATTGATCGTTGCTGGGACACATGCAATGCTTCGGCGTATTGCATCACAGCCGTCAAACCAACCTAGCACATCACCAGAAGCGCGTTCTTCCATCGCCAGTCATCGTCAATAGTCCTCTTTGTGCTTTTGAGAAGAAAAGTCTCTCAGTAGGGGCTCGATGAAGTCACGTTCTGCCCCTCCCCCTTGGATAAACTCCCAGATCCCACCTCCATTCAGCCGTACAACAGTCCTTATCAATCAACCATAACCATCAAGCACTTCAGCAAAAAACATGTAATTGTAGCCTAGATAACTCACAAAAAGCATTTAAATCTGTTGCAGTTGGAATGAAGATAAAAACGCTATCCTGGAAACATGAAGCTGAGATACCATATCCGCATCACCTCATGATGAAAAGTGGCACATATGATATTTGGCTTGGTAGAGTCTCCTTCAATGAGAAGTATCTAACAGTGATTTGATGTTGGCTCATCTGTCTCTCATCATATCACAATCTGGGAATGCTTGGGTCATGTTGTAGGGACCTCCTTTAGACATGGTTTGAGCTCAGCTAAAAAAAATGGAGCAGATGGGACAACTACAAATGTATCCAAATTCTTGGATCTGGTCAGAAATACAGCCCAATACAAAAAAATACTATACTGCATCTTTTCGTAACTTCCAAAACCAAATGCAATTGGATTTATTGTATCTGATTTGAGATACAATTGAACACACAATACAAATCTTTTCAATGCATCAGATAAAAGATACACTACAAAAGTATCTGCAGATACTGTATTGTATCATGTCTGTTTCACCATTGTTTGTAAGCAGGATTGAGTGAGTGAAGATTGGGTTGTAAATTCCACTTGGGTGTGTTGAAATTTTTTATAATTGCACCCAGTTTTGATTAAAGTGTCTTAGAAATTACATCTTGGTGTGAAATCATGTGCTTTAAAAATTCAACAAGTCACTGTCAAAATGTTTCAAAAATATGTTAAAAACGTTTTCAAAATGGTGTTTACAATTGATGCACAACAAAGCTTGTAGAGTCACCTTAACCATGTGACCCATGAACCCAAGACACCCTGTTCTCTGGGACAACAGTCACCTCGGCCATCATTTGGACGTGTGATGAAGCTATCTATTTCTGAGCTCACAGCACATGCATTTTGATCATGTCTTGCCATTTCAAGAGTGTTCAAAGTTTTCATATAGTCTTTCTACACTTTCAGTCTTAAGGTTTCACTGTCATCTATGTGCTCAAAGTTCTCTGTTTCCTGACATCAAAGCTAGGATTGCAAATACCAACCAGATCTTGGTGATAACCTTTGGATATATCCTCACCCTAAAGACTGGCAATGAGCTTTATTTCAGGAAGCTTGTAAATTTAAGCCACTGGGCACTGACTTGTGTGAATTTGGGTTTTGATATTTTGAGGGAAGTTGAGGATGATTCAACCAGTGATTTTGTCTAGATGTTTTTAGCACCAACTTTTGTTCTTGGGACCATGGGGTTGAATTATGAAGTTAAAGTAAACTGGTGCAGATATTTGGAAGCAGACATAATTAATTACTGGGTGGTGATTACTCTTGGAGGGAGCAGTTGACTTGATCCTCTTTTCAAGAAAATTGTTCCTCATTTAATCTCAAGGTAAATGAGAACCCCAAAAACACTCTATAGACCTGGTGAACCAAGAGTGAACAGACGGGTTATTAAGGGTTTGTTGCTTCTAATGTCGAGTTTTACGATTTAACAAAATATCTGATAAACCAGAAACTCCAATATCAAATTCCTATGGGAGCAATTCAGGGTTTTTGAACTCTACAGGAGACTAAACTATTACATCAACACATCGAATTCGACAAGAAACAACTTTTTTTAGTTTTTGACTCATATTTCCTAAAGCTTCTATGAGGCGATATAAAGAAAATGATGTAGATGGATGGCAAAAAATCTTGGTACTCCCTAAACCAAATAAGACTCCTCCGAAAGAACCTTGGAGCTTTCGAATGAATTTGAAGGAATCGTTACGTTTCTCCACAAATTCTGAGTGCATTCATTGTTGACCCCGTTATCGAAAAACATCCCGCAGTTTCCCCAAGCAGTGTTTTCTGGCGTAGAGAATTCCTGGAAGAACGGTTGATCGTGGGTTGCTGAATTTGAGGTCGACTCTTTACTCGAACCCCCTTCCATGTTTGAAGAAAGCAGTTCGTGGGTAAACGATGTCTGAAGATTGTGGGGAAAGTTATATCCACCGGTAGCTGGCGTGCCTTGATTAAGTGATTCTATATTTTCTAAGATATTTTGACCTGGTCGTCCGGTTCTCTTTGCTTGATTCGATGCCGTCATGCTTTCTTGAAAAATTCCGGGATTCATCGCCCAAGGTTTATGACAATCTGTGATCATGTTGTTGACATAGGCGTTATAGTCGCCGGGCAGAAAGCCGCTTGGCTTTCCTTGAGTGAAAGATGTAGGATGCTCAATGCTGTTCAGATATCCCGGCAGCACGCTCGTAGGCCATTCCTCGTGAGGATGTACGTCTGAAGAAACTGCTCCCAGGAAATTAACAGCTGCTTCTCCCGGATTCAGAACATTGGGCAAGTGATGAACCATCCTCGGGGAGGCGCTCAAAACATCGGAATTCATGGTTTGGGGTGACCCGGACGACTTCGACGGTACCTCGGACGAGTTATTACTCAATTCGACTTGGAATGGGACAAAGTTAACTCCCACTAGGATGAAGGATAACGAAACAAGGTCATTAAGGCTTCAAATATCATGCCGTGAATGAAAGCGTGAGAAAAACTGACCTGGCCACGTGGATCTTAGCCGCTCTTCCTCCTTGGCCACGGTATAGATGTCTTTCAGGACATCCATTTTGTCCGGCGGGATGAACGCCGCCATCTCGGCGGAAGCAAGCTCGAGCCTGCCAACTGGGACCTTGCCCGCGCCCAGAACAGCCAACATCAATTTGATTCTATCAGGCTTGAGAAGATGATCGGGTTCGCGATGGACCACTCCTCGTGGCCACCAATCTGGTTTACTAGTTTCTCCACTTCGGTAGGGGAACCTTTTCACGATTGAGAAATTGTTAGAGATCTGGGCGTATTGCAAGACAAAAAAAAACTCGGCTTACTTTCTTTGCTTCTTAGGTTCAATAACTTTAATCCAAGCTTTACAGACCAGTTTACAAGTATTTTGTTGAAGTTGGCGAAATTTGTTCTCAAGGAAACTTGCAATCGAAAGAGGGCTAGAGAAGGATATGATTGTTGGGGAATCATTCGACGCGTTGTCTCTTGTGGGTTGAAATTCGATGTGCTTGATGGTGTGATCGAACTCTTGAACTCTTGATTGCGATAGAATTGCTTCTTCGTTGAGAGCCTCAGGAGGCCTTGAGATTTCTGGCATAGCGGATTGCGATTCCATAGGGAGAATGTCATTCTGGAACATACAATTTGGTTTATTCTCTTCTATTTTCCTACTGTCTAATGAAATTGGATCTGTGACCGTGCCGCTTATTCTATAGTTTTTTTCGAAACCCTTCGGATCATCCTGGGTTAGAAATTCTGCACCCTCCTCTCTAGATCCAGAGCAAACGGGTGAGGTGGGCGAAATGGAAAGATTAACCGGAGGCCCTGAGAGATACTTTGGAGACAACCGTGGGTCCGACTGCTCATAACGATGTAAAGACAACGCCGAGTCACCGTTTAAGAACGGTGAGGGCTCATCCATGCTGCAATCGGAAGTAGAAGCTATAATTTGATGACCACGCAGGATTAGGTTGCTGCATACATCTCAGATAATCAATTCAGACCCACATGCTGCAACAAGGCCTTCCTCTGAGGGTGGTCTTTCAATCGCCGAAGCTTCCACTTCTGCCGTTCCTGGAGGTCCGGGATCATCTTGGTTGGGAGAAGATGAGGCAACCCCGCCCTTGCCCGATAACGCGCTCCGAGAGTCTGATTGGACTGGCGAAACCGCAGGAGGAGCCTCAGCGCGAGGCAGTGGTTTCCTGATGTGCTCTAAGCATATTTCTGACACTTTGAGTTCAGGCGGAGCCTTCAATGCAGCTTCCTTGGCTCTTTGTAGAATCTCAGGTGAGAACAGAGCAGGTTGGCCCGGCTCCGACTCCAACAGACCTTGCAGAACGGGAGAAGCGTAAGTCTCTGTCTCTCCGCGAGCTGAAACCCACATGATCGCGAATTGGGAACCATTGATGTAAGATGATCGGCCTTCCCGGAATTAGAACAGAAGGAAAAGAAAAAAAAATGTAATCAACACCTCACAGCTGGTCATGGCGGCGGCCAAAAAGCGGCATGCCAAGACATCAAAGCCGAAAAAAGGAAAAAAAAATCAATGCTACTGCACTGAAATAATGTGACTCACCCAGGGCACGGAGTACTTGATCCCGTTTATTTTTGAAATGCCTGTGCTGTCGTGTGGGTGTATCGTAAGGTGTTGTCCGCGTCGGGATTCGCGGCATGATATCAATGAAAACTCGGTAAGCTCGGAGGAGGAATAGAGGTTTGACGTGCGTGATGGATTCTTTCAACTGATAGACCTTGCCCAGTCCAAGTGAACCTCCGCAAAATATGACTTGAGTTCCAATCTGTGAACAAT